ACTAGTGCTGGTCGTTTCCCCTGAAGTAGAACCCGACCTCAAATTCACACCGGGTTTCAGGGACAGAGACAGCGAAGCACTAAAACCCTAAACCCGAGGTTCTGGCTTGTCCGAGTTGCGAGAGCCTAAACCGCTTTAGAAGCTTGTCGAAAGGTTCTCAATTCTCAGCATATGAGGCTCGCAACTCGCTTAGAACCGCGGTAGAAATCGTTGTCGCAGTGGTGTTCAGTGACATCTGTAACATAGGGACCGCAACGATTTGAATTGGGTATGGCGTAGAAGTTAAACCAACAACAACCACATTGTAGAACTCAAAGGGCTGATGATGGTACTAAGTCAGGGTTCTGTGCTGCAGTTGCCGCAAGGAGAGTTTCGTATGTTTCGTTTTTCCCTGTGAAAAAACCATGGCTACTTCCACGTTGCTTGGGGAGTTTGTTCGGCTTGACTGTCAAGGGTAGGAGTTGTTTCTGGGTACACTACGTGCTGGGTCCTTGGGTTCCCGAGTTCTTCGTCTTAGGCGCTTGTGGATGGCTCACCACTTGCATATAATGAATCATGATTGATCTGCTGCTAGATCGGGGTCTACACTAGATTACAGTGCAGCCACTTCGCAGATCGCTCAGGGGATTTACAAGCTTCACGGCTTTTGTGTTAAGAATGGCTTTATATCGGCAGACTCAGCAGCAAAGATCTTCTGCCCCAGCGCTTCGGTGTGTGTGTGTGTGTTTGACGATCTTGCGTAGATTTCTGTGTCCGCACAAAATGCCTGAGATATGGGTCTGAATATCACCCATACTGTTCCCAAGGGCTCCTGGTTATCATTATACTACGTTACCCCCCAAGCCCCCCGTTGAAACTGTCAAAGCCCCCCTTGCCAAAACCAGCCCTGGCACGAAGTTTCGTGGACACAGATGACCTGTAGTCTCCATTGTAGTTGCTTTTTTTGGTTTAACCAATTATATAGTAAGGATCTTAGAAGGTAACCCCAAAAAGGAACTACAATGGAGACTATAGGGAGTTCTTTTTGAACCGGACCGTGACCCTCAGCTCCAATCTCTTGAGGGCCCATGTTGGGGTTTGCGGAGTAGGGCCGTTTATAAGGTTGAGGGCCTTGTTGCTATCAGTAGTAATGATGACAGTGCTAATAATTGTTATAGTGATGATAAGAAATATCAAGATCTAATAGCAATAATGAAAATCTTCGAATCAAAAATTTCGCAGGCTTCATAAAGGAGAGCTTTTCCTGCTGTAGTCCTCCTCTGACCTGCTTCCGAGAGCCTGCTTAGTCTAACCATAGGCCCCATAGTAGTTCCTGTGTGGGAATACGTTATAGGGTTCTGATTCTGAATGTGAACCCCAAAAAGGAACTACTACTCGGCCTATGGGTAGTTGATAGCCAGCTGGAGCATAAGCAAAAAAAACGCATGCCTTCCGGAAAGATATCGCCTCCCAACTATTTGGTTTCTTTAGACAAATAATTAGAATAGGGTTCTGGGTTCCATTATACTATAATTTTAACAAGGAGCCCCAAAATAGTATAGGTAATTGTTTACCACCGCGGATGTAGCTGTCGTGCTGAGTCGTCTGATCCCTGTACCAGGGTCAAAGTGGACTCACAATGCTTTGTGAAACCTACTTGATTGCATAAGCTTGGGACATTTGAGTGTGTTGTTGAAACAGGCGTACCTTTTGTCCGACTGGTCGTGATCTCAAGCAGACCGCAGCAGGAAGCCGTCACCGAAGACCGATTACGATGCGTCGAAAGCTACTGCACCATCTCCAAGAGCTCCTAGGAAGCCAGATTCGGCATGCTTCGTCGCAAGATGCCTTTTATGCTAGACGGGTCTTCTGAGAGTCAGCATTGGTCATAGGGGCTGCATGAAGTTTGCAGAAGGATTTGCAGCTCATTCTTCGGACTCCTAGCTCAAGTCAGGCAATAATCGGCTCTCTGTGGATTCTCGCGCTGAGCAGGCCTCCACGGCACTCTTGTACAGCAAACCTAGACTTGAAGACGAAGTCAAAGATCCGACCTTCACCGACCAAAAGAGGCGCGCGAAGTCCCTTCACCTCGTTTTCGGGTGGGAAGTGTTCAGGATAGACTCGGCAGGCAGGTATGTCCGACAGATTGGCACTGTTGTTCAGCCTCCGCATGCCTCAAATCCCAAAGCCCTAAGCCCTGAACTTCTTCTTCACTTCGCTGCGTAACGGTACTAGTCCTGTGCAAGACGGCTCCAAAAGCTGGCCGAGGCCAGCGAGCCTGGAAAAACGGGCAGCTTACAGGCCCTACGTGCAAGGTGAAACAGGACGAAAGGTGGCACGTCGCCAACCGGGACACCGAAGTCCGCAGGAAGGACCAACGCACCGACAGCGAGTGGAGCCAGGCAAAACAGGCTCAACACTCGACAGACGAGCAGGGCCCCCAGGGAAGGAAGCGACACTGCTCAACCACGACCCAGGAAGTTAGAGTCGTTGGTGTGCAGCCAGCCGTCTAAAACGGCTTGACACAAAGAAATCGGGGGCTGGAGCACACAGAGGTGCTGCAACAGCAAAGAACAGGCGCGCACACTGCCGCCCAGCGAGCCGAAGCGCGAGCGGCACCGGCGCAGAAAAAGCACTAGCAAGCCCAAGCCAAACCACCGCCCAGCTGGCCGAAGCGCGAGTAGTGGTTTGACCAGAAAACACTAACATTGAACTGCCAGGAGCTCAGAAAGCCGGGCGGGAGCGAAGACTCTCCCAGATGCCCTGCCATCTCCAACCCGCTTCTTCGATCGCTAGAGTAATCGTCGTGCATGCCGCAGTACAGGCGGGATGGCCAATCCCGAAGAAAAAAAGACAAGCAGGAGGCGCAGCACACCGGCAGAAGTATCACACACACGACACAGTTTACAACCACGCCAGGGAGAGCTCAGCCGCAATGCCGGAGGGATGGCAAATCCCTTCGCAAAAAGCCGACGACGACTTAACAAGGCAACCACACCTTCGAAGTAAGGCACCTTAGTGTATTCCACCTGCAAGTGGAAGAACAGGTCACAAGCGGAAGAGCTTCGCGAGGCTCTCGTAGACAAATCAGTCCAGCGGAGGCTTCAAAGGGCAGCAAAGACCTTCTGACACAAAAAGACCACGACCACGTCGGCAGTCTCCGCAACCAGGAGAGTGTTTCCTGGCAGAGCTCCCTTGGCCTAGCAAGGAGAGCTCGGCGCTAGGTATGAAGGCACGAATGCGGAACCTAGCTGGGGTCTGGTGCTCCCTGAGGAAATGCCACTCCGCGAGGAGAAAGCACCCCAAATCAGGGTCTAAGCCGAGACGCCTTAAGCCCTCAACCCTAAATCCTGAACCACAACACCCTTCACCCTAAAACTTCGCTTGTCCATCATGAAAGGTTTTCGTGGATACACCTTTGGGGCACATGCATTGGACCCGGCACTCTCGACCCAATTTGCAATGCTCCAGACTAAGCCCAAATCCACAATCCCAGTTGCTTTTTCACCCAGTAGCCAATAACCCTAAACCCTAAACCGTAACCCTCAACCCCAACTCTTCCTCTCCACCCTAGAAGTTTGAATTTGATGCGTTTCAACGCATCTCCGGCCAGTTCTTTTACAGAGGCTTGGCCTTAGATAGGGAGCGCTTAGGGTTGGATTCAGGGTCAGAGTTTTGGGGGCTTGGGCTTTGGTTAGGGCTTTAAGGGGAGGGAACGAACAGCAGGGCAATAGCCTCAGAATGAGAACAATAAACTAGTCCATGTTTTTGGGACAGCAGTGGTAAGAGTTGTCGTTCTGCATCGGGGCGATCTGCAAAACAAGTTCCTCTTGCGGGGACATGCCCAGGCAAGCAACAACAAAGACTGGCTATCACCTCAAGGTCTCCTGCAGATGTCCCAAGCCCCGAGCCCTAAACCCTGCTATCCTAAACCCACATACACCCAAAGTGGCTCTAGCTAAATCCGACTAGCCAAGCCCTAAAGCCTGAACCCTGTCCGAGACCTCCTTGCGTATCGAGTCGCCAGCCTGGGGTTTAGGGTGTAGGGTGCAGGGCTTCTGTAGTTCAGAGATACATATTTTTCTACATGCGAGTCGAAGCAGATGCCCGAAATCATGAAACCTCCGACCCCCAAAACTGTCTGAACCGCTGTCTCTTCTTGGCCCAATCACTCTCTTAATCCTAAACCGCTGTCCCTTCTTAGCTTAAACCCTAAACCGCTGTCTCTTCTTTGCTCAATCGAAACCCCCCCGGCCTTTGGGAGGGAACTTGTAAACCCTAAGCCCCCAAAAAACCCTAAACCGCTGCCTCGTCTTGGCTCAAACGAAACTGGGAGGGAACTTTTAAATGGCTCCGTAGCTCCCGTCGCCCCGGAAGCCATGGAGGCGATTCCTCGCTCGCCTGTGCCGCCTGGAAGGTTTCAAGAGGTTTAGGGTTTAGGGGTTTGGGAGTTTGGGGTTTAGAGGTTTAGGGGTTGAAGGTTGGGGAGTTTTTGGGTTTAGGAGTTGAAGTCTTCGGGGTTTAGGGGTTGGGGAGTTAGGGGTTCAGGGGTTTTTGGGGGCGTTGGGGGGGTGTTTTGGGGGCTTAGGGGTTGAATGTTTGGGGTTTTGGGGTTGAAGGTTGAGGGTTTTGGGGTTTAGCGGAGGAAGGCTTTGGGGTTTAGGAGTTTGGGGTTTAGGGGTTGAAGGCTTTGGGGGGTTGCGGGGGTTTGGGGTTTAAGGTTGAATGATTGGGGGTTTAAAGGTTGAAGGTTGAGGGGGGGGGGGGGGTTGGGGGGTTAAGTGTTTAAGGTTTAGGGTTGACAGTTTAGGGTTTTTTAGGATTTAGGGGCTTCAGCACGGGTAAAACAAGGATTTAGGGGTAGAAAAACGAAGGGCTTTGGGTTTAGGAGTTCAGTAGTCATGTGCGAAACATAGATAGTAGATATCATAAGCTTCGCATACTTCATGAGCTTTCTGGGTGTTCCTGCTTTTTCTTTTGATGTTCATTGCAATGACAAACCAAGGTCGGTGGCGGACACTATGAGCACTCAGGCCTCATCAGCGGACTGGTGCCAGCATCTGTCTCAAAAGGCGCTCGCAAGCTCTTGGCGGTTCAAGTGCGAAGACATCCAGATCGAAAAGGAGTTCAGAGCCGGGGTTCGGGGCTGCGTCGTACGGTTTTGCCTGCTTGCCCGGTTTCCTAAAGGAGCTGTAGGTCAACCTGGGGACCCCAAACCCTAAACCCTAAACCCTAACCTGGGGTGTGATACAGGGAGCCTACTTCTCGAACGGTTTTAAGCAAGCGGGCTGCAAAGCTGAACTTACAGTCCGGTGCTGAGGGTTATTCATAGGGAGCCCTTTTATGGCCTAAGTATCCCTAAACCCTAAACCCTAAACCCTGCTACTTGGGTACCATAGAACCCGATAAAGGAACCCGTAAAGGGGAAGCCTACTATAAAGGAGCCTTCCTTCGTTTCCAAAGGAGCTTTGCCGGACCCTGAAGAGCAACGTGCACCTGGGGAGATGGAAAGGCGCTCAAGTCGTAGTCAAGACCTTGCTCCTGGACCAAATTGAGAGCTGAACCCTAAACCCCATGCAAGGAAGTTATTCTATGTAATAACAATAACAAAAATAAGAATAATAGCAATATATAGATATGCATATATATATATATATATATATATCTCTCTCTCTCTCTCTCTCTCTCTCTCTCGACGTGACATGCTAGCGGCTTTTTTGAGAAGTGCTCGCATGTTCGAGGTAGGAAGTTGCAAGCCCAAGCCCAGCATCCCCAACGGGTCTCGACTTAGTGATGAGCATAAGATTTTGAGGCATACCATATAGTCGGAGTGCATTATAGTAGAAGCCAGAAAGTTGGAACATGACTTTAGGAGGATTAGTGCTAGGATCCCTTATACTTTACCTTAAGGGCATGAGGATAATTATGTTCCAACTTTCTGGCTTCTACTATAGTGATGAGCATAAGATTTTGAGGCATACCATATAGTCGGAGTGCATTAGGGAACCCTAAGGAATCGAATGGAGAGTCGTTTCGATCTCTAGATTAATGATTAAAGCTGAAACCCGGAAGACCCTCACCCCAAACCTCTCCATCTCAGGCTTGCCGCAAATAGCGAATCAAGTGAGGAGCCCAGGGATGCTTCGCCAGCATCAGTTGCAGAGGACACCCACCTAGTGAGGGCCTAAGTATCCACTATTGGGAGCAGGGCTCCTTATTATAATTATGCTATAGCATCCCCAGGCCTTATTCTAATTATTAAGGCCCCTATACTATAGATCCCCTATAGTAGCCCTTATAGACCCCTTTAAAGGAACCCCTACTCTAATTATTAAGGCCCCTACATTATCAAGTATCCACAAATGGGAGCACGCTGGTTCCTTGAAGGGCTTTCGGCTCAGGGCTGGGACCTAGGCTTGCAGAGGCAAAAAAGGCCAGAGGCTCCAATATCCCTCAATTAAGGAATATACCTTAAATCATAATCATAATATTAAGGCCCCTATAATTTAAGGATCCTACTACAATTTAAAGCATATTCCTTAATTCAGGGATATTGGAGTCTCTGGGTTAAGGCCAGAGGCTCCTAGATTTTCAGGATCTCGGGCTTAGGTAGGTGTCCGGGCTTCCGGCATCTGGGGCACTCTTCTCGTTCCGAAATCATCCTGGGACGGCGGCATAGAGGGAGGTCTCGCAGCTTCAATGTTAAAGCTGTAGGGTTTTTGGCTACACACCGAAGTTGGTCAAGTATCACTCGGGCTCTAGGGTTCGAAGGTTAATGCTGGTGTTTTACACAATTGTCCGTATCACGCGGCTTTTTGCGGCTATCGAGAATCCTTGCTGGGTCCCTTGTGCTTCAACTTGGTGGGAGGTGGTTGGCAAAACGAGAGTTTGGGCAATTATCCCCCATACAGTGCTTTAGACACTACAGCATATCCCATAACCCCAAAACCCTATTCTAAATCATTCAGTTCCCTAAACTATGTTTACACATTTTAATATCGTTGTTGTTACTTTTATTACCTTTTTGCTATGAAATAAAGCCAAAAAACGAGAACAGGAGCTCCTGCACGAGATTGATGTGCTGTCGTCTATTCGCCACCCAGACCTCGTTCTGCCGCTTGGCACTCTGGGACTTTGGAGGGTTTAGGACAGTTTGGGGTTTTTGGGGTTTAGGAAACTTAAGGAAGCCTAAACAACTAACTTGGAGCTTTAGGGTTTTAGGCTTTAGGAAAGTTGAGGAACCCTAAACCCGAAATCCCCTTGAAGTGATCGTCAGCTGCTAGTCCCGACCAGTCGAAACACTTCGAACCCGAGATTTCATCTGGCTTGTCCGAGTTGCGAAACCTCTATACCCTAAACCCTAAACCCCTACACCCGAAATCCTAAACCTCTATACCCTAAACCCTAAACCCCAAAACCCTATACCCTAAACCTCTATACCTGAAACCCTAAACCCTGTAAACCGGCTTTGAGCTTCAGCTTGGGGCTTGCCTTTGCTGCCGGTGAAAGCCCAGCTGCGAGCTCCCAAGTCGGGTTGCTCTTCTCCCAGAGAGCCCAATACCCCCTTGATTAAAGAATACCGAGGGGTTCAATTAAGGGATCTATAAGGGATCTTTAGGGTTTAGGGTGTAGGGGAGTCTAATACCCCTTAATTAAGGAATATAGCTTAAATCATAATATGAAGCCCTAGATAATTTAAGCCATATTCCTTAATTAAGGGGTATTGGGCTCTCTGGGTCCCTCCTGTGGGTTGCAGCGGGCGGGTCTCTTTAAGGGATCTTTTAAGGGGATCTATAGGGTTTAGGGGTTGGAGAATGGGGGAATGGATCCCTATAGTAGTCCCTATAGAATCCCCAATAATAGTGTCTCCATAATCCACCCCCACCCCCCCACTCCCTAATAAGAACCTTCTTGTCTTTTGTCAAGAGAACCCGTCGTGCCACTTGAATGGTTTGCAGCGAAGTCTATGAGGGTTCTGGATCCAAGTGTAACTTGTGAGCTGAACTGCGATGGAGCCGTAGATTGAAAACCCAGCCGCGCAAACACTGACACCAAACAGACGCAAGTTACGCCATGATCGCTGGGTAGCCCAAACGGGATTGATCGCCACCACCATCACCGCAACAACAGAAAGAACAGCACCAACGCCGCGGCTAGCAACAGCAGCAGCAACAACAACAAAAGCAACGGAAGCAGCAGCAAGTGTCGGGAAGGGACCACTGGTCATTGTAGCAAGCGTTCGAAGCCAGGCCGCCGGGCTTCACTCAACAATGATCCCGACACAGGAATCCCGAAGCAGCTCAGCAATTCAGAACGTTTTGCGACTAAGAAATTACAATCGGACCTGAGACTTTGGCCCCAAGCAGATTCCGCTCAAAAAGTCAAAGTTCCAGGCATCACGCATCACAAGCTTTCCCAGATCCTTCGACTAAGGCCCCTTCTTTACACCTCGTCAAGACTCCAAAGCTCAGACCCCATAAACCCGAATCCCTAAACCAGGGAGATAGGATTAGGGGACCCTCGGTGGTATGAGGGTCTCCCGCATCATGCTACCCAAAACCCTAAAACGAGAAGCCGCCAGGTTTTTAGGTGCCTGCCTCGACACCTCGTGTTCGATCGCCTGCATCACTGAGTACATGCCCGGGGGCTCCTCGACTTAAGGAAGCTGATCTTCTGATCCACCCGCGGAGCACTCAAAAAGATTCGAAGCAGAAATTTCGCCGAGTGCTTCGATGTCTTCAACCGACCGGGAGCTCCTTTTAATCCATTACGACCATACGATCATATGCCCCAAAACCCTATTCTAAGGCCCCTATATTAACAACTTCAAGGTGCTGCTGACACTCGGAACATTGGCTTTGAATTCTGAAGGTCCAGTGATTTCTCCGGAAAATCAGAATGTCCCAATTGGGGAAACTCCATACCAGGTCGACCGTGTTGTTCATGAGGAACCTTTAGTAAAGATGAGGGGCGTAGGAGTCTTGGCCCAAGTCTGTTTCGGCAGTTCCGAAAAGTCCGAAGCAAAGGATCAAGAGCTGTGAGGGCACCCATATCTATCACTGCATAAAGCCGCTGCGATGCAACATAGACTTACCCAGATGCCATGAAGGCTTAGATCTGCCTTCCAGCATTTGAAAGCAGCAGGACTGAGGAACCTTTAAACACCCAAACCCTAACACTCTGAACCCTAACTTAATCATCCCTGGTCCCTTCGAAACTCCATAAGTCCTGTAAACCCTCCCAAACGAACTCTGGTAGAGCCTTCAACCCTAAACCCTAAACCCTAAACCTCGAGGTGACTTGGAGTCCTTCTACGTCGCCAAGCGAGCGAAGCGCCAGGCCCCTGTGTGGCATCCTCATTTGCAGCAAGCGCCTCGGATGCAGCGAGAACTGGAGACCTGCTAGGGCTTTCATTGAAATTATTTTGTGGTTTTGGGAGCCGGTCCTGTTTTTTGTTTGGTGCTTTGAGGAGTTTGGGTCGGTTTTGGGTGGGATTTCCGGGAAAGGTCACAATAACTTCTGGTCACAGAGGTACTGCTGATGGACAAAATCCTGCATGACCCATTATAAGGATTCCCATGGTTTGGAGTCCTTAGCGTCATGCAGGATTTTGTCCATCAACAGTAGCATTGAACAAACTGTTGGAAGTATTCGGTACGTTTAAACTTTCCCAGCCCTCCAAACCCAGCCGGTGAAAAGCTACTTTTGGACCTTACTTCACCCGCATCCTTCCTTGGTTCGGAAGCAGGCGCACATCGTATGCACATAATGTACGAAGAAAATCGCAAGGAAGGCCATGAGCCCCCCTCGAAGCCTAAACTGTCTGGTTCTTAGTAGGGACTACTATAGGGCTCCATTTCCCCCATTCCCTATTAAGAACCAGACAGAAAAAGGCGAAAATTAGGGGTTATCTTATTTGGGGTCCTTGCAACAAGGGTCCTACTAATTAGGTTATTATATTAGGGTCCCGGAAACAAGGGTCCTCATACTATTTAGGGTGCTACCTATATTAGGGTCCCCTATCTTCGGAAACCCGCAGGTGGTGTCGTGGGCGGCCGCCACCGCTCGTGGCCTTCTCTTCTTGCACACGCGAGAAGTTCCTCTTGTACACCGCGGCCCGGCTCGGCGCGGAGATTTCAGGGCTTCCGGGTTTTGGGGTTAAGGGCTTAGGCTTCAGGGTCTGGGAATTAAAGTTTAGGGCTTAGGGTGGAGGGCTTAGGCTCCAGCGTTGAGGGTTTTGGGCGGGCTTAGGCCTTCCGGGCTTTCGATTTAAGAGTTGGGTGTGGGCTTCTGGCCGAGAAACTCGTGCTGGTCAGCGCCGTGCCAAAGGCGGCTAGGGCGGTGGTACTAGTGGTAGCAATATTGCGCAGACGGGCTTCCAGAAGTTCGAGGCTAGCGTGACGATCAGCTGTAACAGTAAGCGGCATAGGAACACGGATTCATTCTTATGAGATGACACAGCAGATAGAAGCAATTTCGCAGCAATTGCGACTATGTTCAGAACTGTATTTGTATATTGGCCTGACAGAACCTGGACTCGAGTTTCAGAGCATGGCAAAGGGAAGTAGTGGAAGACAAGCAGAAGACAACATGACTGGCAGAAATTGGCACAGCTTGTCGGGTACCAATATTATGCCTTCAAGTTTTTCACTATATGCATATACGATAATTATACAATACCCGAAGCCCCATACCGATCATTACCGCCCGGATGTTCGTCAGGTGATCTCAAGCCCATGAACCTTCTCTTGACCAAGCACCTGGACCTGAAGGCAGCGCTGTGCCGGGCTCGCGTTTGTTTTCTTCATTCGCAATCAGGGTTCAGGCGGAGGTTAAGAGTTTGAGGGTTGTCTTGGTCGAAAACGGGTTTAGGTTAGAACGGTTAGTCTGCTGTCATGAGCCTCTGTTTCAAGAACTTCGCCAGACTGCTGTGATCGGATCGGATGCGTGGAGAGAGCCTAATTCCTAGAAGCGTGAAAGCAACAACCTGGATTCCAAAATCTGGTCTCGAATTGCGCAGATTGCCGATCTTGGTATCAGCCGGGTGCTTGCGGCGGGCACTAGCCACATGGCTTCAGCAGCTTCAGGATCTAGGGTTTAGGCTTTAGGCATTACTTTGTTTTGAGCGCGGGTTTTTGCGCACCTTCGGCGAGGTCTGCGGATTGTCGTGTTTTTGTTGTTGTCGCCATCTTCTGCGTTGTCTAGTCGTCCTTGCGAAGCAGTACACCTCATTGGTGCTTGGTGTTAAACCTACGTCAGTGTCTACAAGACGCCCAAGCACGACACAACATGGGACAAAACAACCTTCAAAGGTCGTGCAGCTGTCTTGTTCCAAGTCGGAGGTTTTCTTACACATACAAGTACCTCAGTTAGTCTTCAGTAAAACCCGGCTACTTGAAGATTCTTTACACAACTTGATTTCCCTTGTCTTCTGAAATTCCCACTCGTTGGTTGAAAGCCGTCTCAAAGGAGATCACAGCAGATACGCCATGACCGGTGGCGTGGGCACTTTTCGGTACATGGCTCCGGAGGCCTTTCATCGGACGGCGGGATTTCTGAAGTCAGTGAGGTCTGGAGTCTACATGGCCCGAATAATTAATATCCTTTTCGAGTGCTTGCATGTGCCTGTAGCTGCATTGGTGGAAGGTGTTGCGGCAAAGGATTTTCGGGATGTCTTCAGGTCGCGGAGTCTAAAAAAGGCTGCACATCAGGCTTCAAAGAGCAGGGGCAATGGAGAACTCCACTTGGGGTGCAGTAGCCTCAACCGCCACCCGCCCCAAGGCGTAGATCCCAAGCCCTGAGAAGCAGTGCCCCGATAACAATTCCTCACCTCGCCAGGCGCTTTTCATGGCAGCACTGAACTAGAGAAGTGTATTGCTGAAAGCATGTAGTTGCAGAAACATCGCTCAGCTGGCATTGCATACTAGTGCGAGAAGTAGCTACTGGTAAGAGAAAGAGGATGACTCGGATGACAAAGACATGTGGCTGTGTAGATGCTAGGCCAAGCATCATAAGTTTTCGTCTGATGGGTCGCACAAGTTGGCATCCGTGCAGCTTTCCCTGGCCTGATGGCTTCGCTCCTGGCTTCTTGATTTTGGCCCTAAACCCTAAGCCCTAGACCCTAAACCCTAAACCCCAAATGGCACTAAGCCCTAAACTCCCGCATCCATGAAGAAAGGCGCCCGAGACCTCGACACGAAGGTCGTCATTAAGATATGGGAGTTTCCAAAAACTAGGGTACCCTATTTTGGGGTCCTTATAATGATCCTACTATTTAGGGTACTATATCAGGGTCCCCTATTTTCGGAAACTCCCATATGAACCTTGTGAAGGGGATGTGGCATGAGAGCTCTTGCAAGTCCGATTCACGACCTTCAGCTTCCATCTTCCCCTCGTTCGTTTAATGTTAAGTAATTGTAAACTGTAGTCTTATGATTGTTATGTCTCTTTCTACTGTCCTTCCCTAAGATTCCAAGCCCCGTATCGCAGGTATCGTGTTTAGACTTTCGGCCGTGTGTGAAGCGGCGTTTCCCTCTCTAGTGGTCCAAGTCAAGTCTTCGTCTGGAGCCCGTCTTTGCAGAAGGTGAAGCTAACAATGTTTTGTGTTTCTACTACTATCATTGTACAGTTTTACAGTCTTTACAGTTGTTATTGCCAATATGGTTCTTGCTGTTGCTGTTGTCATTATTGTTGCTATTCTTGTCAGAAGTCTTCCGACCCCTGGTGCAGGTAGCTCGGGGTCACTACTACGACGAGCAGCTTTGCTTGACTTAAATCCGGGCGTTTAGAGGATGCCATATGTGTCGTGTTGCTTTCGTATGAATGTATGCCGGCAGTTTGCATGCGCTTCTGGAACTGTCGTCCGCGTCCGTGAAACAGCTTGGAAGCCTAGTCTCCACAAGCACAAGAGGTGCAACTTCCAAGCCATCTTTGCCTGAGGAGATCCAGCATCCCTTGAGAAGGAGTTTCCCGAGACCAGTACCCTTTAAGAGGACCTTATGATAGAACCCTCTTACTACCCCCTATCGGTTGAATAGCCTTTAGCTCAGGAGGGGTTTCTGTCAAGATGCCGGCGCTTTCAAAGGGGATCCCCATGAGTTCCTGATCCTGTAAAAACGCAACATTACTCCGATGGAATTGTTTTGCAAAGGGATCTATGTTATCATTCAGTGACCCAAAGGGAACCGAACCATCTCCTTCAAAAGCCCTATCACAGCCCCAGTGTGGTCCTACAGGGACCCTGCAGCGGCCCTCAAGTAGCTCTAGCGTTAGCTCCGCCGTGCCACACGAAGGTTTGGCTTGGCTCATGGGGATTTAGCGTTTCGTTGCCTTTGGAGTTACTTGATGCTGCGGTGTTTAGGATACCACGAAGTATAGCAAATTACAATATACTATAATACTATATAATGTTTCATAATCACATAATAGCCTCAAGAGATCCGTCAACCGTGCACAGCGCTCGACAATGCTGAACCCCGTAAAGGCCGAAAAGCCGAAAGACCCATGGTCTAGGCGGTTTAGGGCTTTAGGGATTCTAGGGTTTAGCGCTTTTAGGGTTTAGGGTTCAGGCTGTAATGTCCGAAGCATAGAAAAGCAAAGCTTCAAAGAAGCTCTGCCTGGAAGCTTCCGACGGCTCCCAGGAAGGTAGACATCTATGCGTTTGCCCTAATCCTCTACTTCATGTGCTCCGGCCAGCAGCCCTTCCATCACCTGGGCCAAGATCCGGCGGCTTAGCTGCAGATCTCTTCTAGCATCTCTGTGGCGTTTTACATACGCATAGAAGCCCCTGAATATCTGAAATGTGGCCGCGCACGCTTCTTAGCTTTCGCGCATGACTTGCAAAAATCGCGTTTCTAATTCCCGGATTTGGATTTTTGTTCAGGAAGTTTGTTTCGTGAAATTCATCGAAAAAAGTTTAGAAACCACGTTAGCTATGGAGATTGTGGGATGGCGAGTTAGAGAATGGTGAGAGTACAGCTCTGGTACAGCTCAAGGGAGCCGTGGGGGGGACTTCCGGAGCCTATGGAAGAGGCGTTCGGTATCTGGTTGTTGCTTCGCGACATCTACAGTAGAAGCCAGAAACTTGGAACATCATTCTCTGAATACCCTGAAGGTCAAGTATAGGGCATCCCCGCACCAATCATCCTAAATCCATGTTCCAAATGTGTCCAATGAAAAACTGGAGGCGAATGAGTTCCGAAAGCAAGTCGATGTGCCAGCCGACGTATTGGGAACTACAGTAACACTTGAGGATCTGATCCCGGGCCCTGTGAACCCAAGAGCCTGTCGCCCAGGAGTTTGTCCTGCAGCTCTACACCCAGGCCTGCCGAAACTGACAACCCAATGGGAATATTAAAGGGAACTACGGCTGATGATGTAAATCCTGCATTTCCTTAATGACCCTAGACTATGGGAACCATGGTATATTCCTTATTATGGGTAATGCAGGATATGTATGTGTGTATACATATAGATATATATATATATATATATATCATCATCATCATCATCAACAGTAGTCACCGGGACTGCGCTGTGTTACAACGCGCTGTTCGGCGACTCCAAGAAGCGGGTGCGCACAAGCATTTCCGACGAAGTTCGTGAGGTCGTATACCGTGTAGTTTCTTTACCTTTCCAAACGACGATCTGATTACCTCCTCTTTAATGTCACTGTCTCCCTTATGTTTTTTGTCAATTAACTGAGTTCCCCAAGTTCGGTGGTGAAGCCTCTGGGTTTCCTAGCCCCTTGGCTCGATTGAAGCGCTGAAAGCATCTCCAAGGGGCTTACCCTAGGGATCTAAGGACTCATATATTAAGGCTTTTGGGCCCAAAGACCATACTATATAAGACGTTTAGGCTATTTTGATCCGTAGGGTTACAAGCCGTACTGTCTCTTTAAGGTAGCCGGCACACGCAGTTTCGGTGGTTCTACTTCTTGCAGAACCCTGGTTTTTTCGTGGACGCTGAAGCGGGGAAAGTTGTCTCCCTTTCCTGAGATTGTGAACTTCGGCATTCGGCATGGACATCAATCATCTCCGCGCCATGTGAAGTTTCAGCCGATACTCCCAGTCCACCTATGGCCTACGGCCAATAGACTGGGTTCGGTGGAACCAAAAACCAAACCGCCACGTGCACTCCACCAACAGCCGAAGCGCCGAGAGCCTGAGCTTGGAGGTTCCCGACTCTGGTGCCCAATTTGAGTTCAAGGCTTTAGGACTCGAATGCCACAGGTGTCTAACTTGCTGTGAGGAGGCGCGCCTGTATGTTCAGAGGTCAAAAAGGCAATGGGCAAAAAAGCATCCGTACACTGCTCCAGGAACAAAGACATGATCCAAGATGTGTGAAGCAGACATCGGCAGGGAAATGGGTGGAGGTTCAGACAGACGGCAAGACTTCCCAACCTTTCACTAACACTAAACCCTAAACCCTAAACCCCCAAAGCTTCAACCTCATTTGGGCCTTTGGCTCCTTGCTGAGGGAGAAGATCCGAGACCCTTGCTTCCTGGCCGCAGGGGATCAGATTTTTTGAAGTCACCTCCGAGGCCTGAACCCCTTAACTACTATTTGCTTAAGAACCCCCAAAAAATAAAAAATATATTCCTTATGGGTGTAATATAGGGATTATTATTATTAATTTTTGGTGGTTTCTTAAGCAAATAGTAGTTAAGCCCCCGAAACCTCCTGACAACATAAGCTAAGCAGATATGTAGGTATGCAGGTGAGTATATGTAGGCATGTGGGGAAGCATGTATGTATGTGTTTTTGTATCTGGATATGTATCCTGTTCTTATGCACTGTATTCATGATACACTAAACCCGCGCGATTCCTTTGCGTACTCGGAGCTTGTCCCAAAAGACTTTACTGGCCAATACAGCACCTCTAAACCCCTTGTAGGATGCACAAAAGCCCCAAGCCCAACTTACCCCTAGCTTACCTATTTTGCCCGTTCCATCACCCTAAACCCTAAATCCTTGAACCCTAAATCCCTAACGGTAGCCCTTATTGATCCCTTAAAGGAACCCCAAAACCTTAAATCCCTATACCTAAACCCAGGCTGACGGACTGCCCGTGGAAACTACGGGGCCTCCTCGCCGCTGCTTGGGCGGAGGACGGCCTGGGGGAATGGATCCGTATGATAGTCCCTTCAGTCCCTTATAGTAGTCCCTATAACCCAGGATCCCTATACGGTCGATGATATAAATCCTGCATTACCATAAGGACCCCAGACTATGGGAATTGTGGCATATTCCTTATTATGGGTAATGCAAGATTTATATCATCAACCGTACTAGCCCCTATCTTGTTCCCAATAGCAGTCCCTCTAGCCCATTCCCCCATTCCTTACTCAGAACCAGACAGAGGAGACCCAAAAGCGCCCGGACGCAGGGCAGATCCTCGCCGAGCCTCGGCAAATGGGGCTCCTGGAGTCCTGGACTGCTGTGAACCCCCGTTTTTCTTGTTTCTGCCATAGTTGGGTAGCATTTTACATGTTCATGGGTACTTACACCCCAGAACGACTGGATATTGAAGTGTTCTACTATCCCAACCATGGTCCCGAAGTAGGGTGTAGGTTGTGGGCATGGGTGCTGGGCTATAGGCCCGCAGCAGTAGGAATTTTCAACTAGCGTCTTTCTGGGCTATTCCGGACTAACGATGATCAAGGCTTTGGCCAGTGACAACATGTAAGTGGATTGGGTTGATCTGCTTTTTACAGGCCGGGGTTCTGCATTCTAGCTTTTCCGGTGGTCCTTGGCTTGTTTCTTGGGGCTTTCTCTTTGCTGTTTCCAGCACTCGTGGTTGGGTTCATATCCTCTTTTTTTTTGCAGAGAGTTCTCAAGCCCGAAATTCAGAACTTCAGGCCGCCAAAGAGTGCCACATGGCTTGTTGGGCCATTGGTAGGCACCATCATAGTAGATCCCAAAACCAGACGAAACTCGAACCCTTTTCGGTCTTTCCCGTAATACTCGAAGCCACAGGCACTGGAAAACCTGGAAGAAGAACAGGCCGGGACTGAGGGCATGCTTTGTATGTCCGTTAGTTTGCTTTGCATCGCACGACTTACCCCCGTCAATATGGTCCCTGTTGAGATCGTGATAGAAAGTCCTTGTCATATCATTCCGGTTAGTCTCCAAAACTCGGCAAGGTGCCAGGAAACACCTTAAAGGCCCTGCCAGGTATCCTGAGACTCCCCACGTGAAGAACTCGGAAATCAAGCCCGCAAAACCTGGACCTAAACCCTCAAGCAACGACTGGCACCATTAGGACATCACCGCTGCTTGAACAAGATTTCTACAAGACAGACAGACCGCCAGGGTTTAGGGTTTAGGGTTTAGGGCAGACGGACACCAAGAACCCACTAGAGCTTTGGATCTTAAGAAGTAGGATTGTATATGGCTAGTGTATATAGGGCTCCTTATGGGGGTATCGGCGAGGGTGTATTTCCCCATAAGGAAAAGAGATCGAGGTCATGTTAGAAGAACCATGGTAAGCCCCAAGCAAGAAAGAACTACCGACTGATCCAGTGGTGGAGCAGCGAGTTTTGTTAAGACGGGCTTGGCTGCGGCTCAGAGGGTTTAGGGTTTCGGAGTTCCGGTTAAGGGACTGCTCGGAACATCGGGATCCTTCACGGAGCATCGGGACTGTTTGAAAAAGTGTTGCATTGAGTTGTATCGTCCGGCTGCGAGAAACTCTTATAATCATATCACTAGTTGTAAGGGCCCGATGCTCAACGCATTTTTCGTTTGTTGCGAGCAGTACTATCTTTGCAACTGTTGTTGCTACCCGTGCTTGTTTCTAGGTTGCTAGTATTACAGGTTATAGCCGACGCCATGCCCAGCATTGTTTATTCCTATTGTTGCAATTATTTTGACGGTTGCTCATTATTAGTCTTGTTCTCATTGTCACCATATTGTTTGTGAACGCAATTATTCCGATTGTTACTATTATTGTGCTCATTACCATTTTGCTTCAAGGCACAACCTGCCTGCGGCTGCTCCCTGATGTGAAGATGTGCACAACGTGAGCTCTTACATCTACAACGCAAGAGCTGTCGGAATCAATTGGGCGTGTCTTATAGTGCAGTTTCGGTATCGGGTTGCCTTATATCATATCTGGTTCTGAACTCCCATGTGTGCTGCTCTGTGGGGCAAGCAGGGAAGGCTTCAAGTCAGTTGCAGGCTTGGTTTTGGGTGTTTGCTACTTGCTAATCCTACAGCCTGTATCTCCAAGAGAAAAAGACTCCCACACTTTAAGTTTAATTTAGTACATCCCGGACATGGTGCGCTTTCTCGGTTTTGAAACCCGTTTAAACTCACTACTGATATGTCGGTGCTGGCCGAGAGAGAGCCTCTGCGCCAGACGCCATGCGCGACAAGAAACGTGGTGTCAGTGTGACAAAGATCCCGGATCGCGCACATACAGATTCCAAGAGCTCGTTGCGGAATTCGGAGCTTAGGGCATTTGTAGCAGAGTCAGGAGGCCGTGAGTTCCAAGGGCTCACGTCTCCAGGCTTCTGTGACACCGATCCTCAGTCATTCGCTGTTTTAGAATCTTCATGTTCTCCTATCAGTAGCTTAGCTGCGACTGCCTCGAAGCCACGGGCCCAGGGCCCCATCTGCAGAGTCTGAAAAGATGTGAAGGAGCTTAGAGACTGAGGGGTTCCCTGGCTCTTGGCTCGGGAGCATATCGCAGATGTTTTTACAGGTCAGACTGTTTGGCTTGACCAGGTGGTGCTGGTCCATCACCCTGGCTTTCGCCTGCCGAGCCTCTTCCTACACGCACCCAGTGCACAAAGTCCTTCTGCTGTACTAGGAATACCTACACAGATGTAGCAGAAACGTGACCACTCACCAGAACCGGGTCACCAGCTGGCAGGTGGGAAGCTCGAAGTAAATGCCTCGTCGAACCCACAGATGCGACATCGTGAGTTGTTACCTGCGTGAGCCCATACATCGAGGTGGACGGATGGAGTAGAGATACGCCAGCAATCAATAAAAAATATTGATGCTTCGCGATTCGGACATATTGTTGGATGACACTACAATCAAAGGACGACCCAACTTGTAGAATGACCACAACTCCAACAGGACTCACGTGGCAGTTTTCGTTTCACCGGTGCTTCAGTGCACTTGACAGCTGCGATCTGTCAGACCGAGAAGAACCCAGAGACTCCAATACCCCTTAATTCAGGGATATTCCTTAAATCATATTAGGGATCCTATATAATTTAAGTAAGGTATATATCCCTAATATGATTTAAGGAATATTCCTTAATTAATTAAGGTATATATCCCTACTATAATTTAAGGTATATTCCTTAATTAAGGGGTATTCCTTAAATCATATTAGGGATCCAACTATAGTTTAAGGAATATTCCTTAATTAAGGGTATTGGAGTCTCTGTCAGAACCCGGCACAGCTCGGTCCTCCTCCAGGAGATCGGTAACGCCGTCGTCCTCTCACCGCGATCATCCCCAATCCCATATGGGTAGTTGTCACAATTTGGGTCCCCTTTTTGGGTCCCTATTATAATGCGGCACCGAATATACCACCCATGTTATCCTTCAAGTTTACAAAGTTCCTTATTACAATCTCATAGTATAATATATTGGGCCCCAAAACCCTATTCCAAAGGCTCCTATCTTAACCTTAATATAAATCTGCATCACAGAATCCATCCACAAAGTTGTTCCACGACCCATGTGAACCCCCAACAACCTCGATCAAGTGATATCTGCGGGGAGCTGCAAGCCGGACCAGTTCTCAGACCGCGGGAGTTCCTCGGGCAAGTTTCCTCCAAGAGGTTTTAGATTCTGTACGGTTCCGTTGTTGTGCATGTCTGGCATTCGTGCCACCTCCTTCTTGTGGTACTTATAGCAGTGATACTGGCGGTGGTGGTGGTCGTAGTTGTCGTCCTCTTCGTCGTCGTAGTTGCGGTCGCAGTAATCGCAGCAGTCGACTCGATCGTCGTAGCCGTAGTTGTAGTGGTGCTCCTAGCAGCAGTAGATCAGTAACAGCTGCGGTAGTACCAGCCTACTGGCAGTGGCACCAGTATTGTCAGCATCAGCGGGAGCAGAAACCATGAATGTAAACAGGGCAGACTCAGCGAGTCAGAACAATCAGCTGATGCTCCGCGATACTCCTCTTCCTGGCTTTGCATAGCAGGGGTAGGCTCTCATACTGACAGGTTCCCTGTTTGGGCGGGTCCTCGAAACAGGGATGAAAATTTGCAGCCCACAGCCCGGCCTCGAGTGACTCTGAGGGTCTTGGCCTTTTGGCCTTGCCCTGATGGATTGTGATCGGCCAGAGATCGATACTCTTCAGGGGAGGGCGGTAGACAAAGTTCCTTAGCTCGCAGTCCGCATGGAAGTTGCATCTAAGCCTAAACCCTAAAAACCTCTAGTTTCCTAAACCTTAATCTCTCCAAATCTAAGCCCGAAACCCTACTGTAAGTTCCGGGAGTCCCCAGCTTCGGAGTGTGTGTGGAGAAGTTCAGGGGGACAGGGGTGCATGGAGGAACTCCCGCAGACTCACTGGTGCGACACCGTGAGTTGTTTCACATACCAGAGGACCTTAGGCATGCGGGCAGATGCCTTGAGTCTTGCATAGGCTTAAGCAGCCTTACGTCCGATGTAATTTGGGGTATGGAAGTGCCGAGATCTCGGCTGCTGTGAGAAGTGCAGCTCCATAGGCCTTAAACTCCCCCTCAACCTTACACCCGAAACCCCCAAAGGCCCACAAAGCCTATAAACTGATGACTGGCAAGAACACGGGGGGTTTTCTTTGGGCTCTTAGCGGGCCAGCAGTCTGTCATTGAGCTTACATGGCTGCACACCTGACACGTAGGGTTCAGGGTTCATATACACTCGGAGGCACTTCAGGGAGACCTCGTTCAAAAGGGTTTAGGGATGCGCAAAGGCCCCAAAGCCTACATTGTTAATGAACTCTAATGGGTTGCTTCGAGTTCCAACTTTGCCTGGTAGGCACTTCAACAGGGAAACGAAATGGCGCCCGCTAATAAGCTGAGTTTCTGGCTCGCTCGAACATCCGTTTTGGAGATGTCTAAAGTCTAGCTCTGCACACTAGGAAGCAAAGGGACTGCAAAGAAGCAGGTGCGCGCACTTGATCTGGAGTTTCTGGCTGCAGGCGGTTTATGGTTTCGGATTTGATTGGCTGCGGGGCTCTTCGATAAATGCTTGCAACTTGCCACCAAAATCGCTCCAAGATCGCCTCGGCAGGAACCTCTACTCTACATGGGTGGTTGTCATAGTTGGGGTCCCTTTTTGGGTACCTTAAATAATAGGTGCCGTAGTATAATAGGGACCCAAAAAGGGACCCTAATTTTGACAACCACCCACATATCATACTCTGCTGGGTCCTACAGTCTTCGCGTCCCATATTTAACTTGCATGTCCGAACCTTACAAGTCGCTCTAATGCCTTTCGTTCCGGGGGGAGACTCAAACGTGCCTACGGGATCTTCTGGCGAACCTCGTCTCCCGCAGTGTGAGTTGCGCGCACCCCGCACTGGAACTCAAGGGAGTGCTGCGCCTCTGGCGGAGAGCTTGTGCCCCAAATCAAATTCGGGTAAAGTGCGGGGACCTGAAAACCCTGAGGTCTTATTTGCAGTTCTCATTGCCATCTTTGCTATGCTTAAAACTGAACTATGCTTGCTATCATGATATATCGTGGTAATTAGTATTGCATTCCGATCCGAGGATGTGGGTGCTTCGGCACCACACAAGCCCAGGGTTGTTTCATCGGGTCCCTACAATAAAATGGCTTCGGCAGCTCGGGCTAGACAGTCCGCCGCGAACTTTAAATCGCCAGGACATTTGAAGGAGCTCTCAAGGATGGTTTAGGGTTTAGTTAAATGCCAATACTTCCTTAACTAAGCAACTATGACTAAAACCGATTTGATGACTAGCGAGACAAAGGGTCATAGTGCATGCCACAGCACGCTCGGAGTGTAGTGTAGGAGCACTACGGTTGACGGCCTGAACATTGCAAGGCTATGCAGTTCGGCTGTTTGGCCTGTTGGCGGCACTGGTAGCAGTAGTGCTAGTGGTAGTAGAGCAAGTAGTAGTAGCAGTAGAATAGAACTGGTACTGGTTGTGGAAGTGAATTTAGTGGCAGTATCGGCGGTAGCAGTAGCAGTAGGAGCAGCAGCAGCAGCAGTACCAGCAGCAGAAACAGTAGCAGAAACAAAAACCGAAGCAGTAGCAGGAGCAGTAGGAGTAGTAGGAGTAGTAGGAGTAGTAGTAGTAGTAGTAGTAGTAGTAGTAGTAGTAGTAGTAGTAGTAGCACTAGTATTGGTAGTAGAAGTAGTAGTAGTAGTAGTAGCAGTAGTAGTAGTAGTAGAAGTAGTAGTAGTAGTAGTAGTAGTAGTAGTAGTAGTAGTAGTAGTAGTAGTAGTAGTAGTAGTAGTAGTATCAGTGCTAGCAGTACGAGTACTATGGTAGTCCTAGTAGCACATGTAGTAGTAGCAGTAATTACTAGTAACTAGTAGTACTTGTAGTGCTGGTAGTGGTCGTTGCTGCTGCAGAAGAAGAAAAGGGGGGAGCAGCAGCAGCAACAGTCTCAGTCGCTGATTCCTTCGAATCAAGGCTCCATGGGGATGTGGATGTATGTTCACGTTCCGGTTTTGATGCCACGTGGCACCGCAAGAGCGCCTGAAAAAATGCGATCCGCAGGGTGCTAAATATCCGGATGCACATGTTCGGCCTTGTGTTTTGGACTTTACGTCTTGGATTTTCAGGGACCCCAAGTTTTCAGGTCAGGGCCTTTGCAAAGATATCCGCTTCCCGGCAGAAGGGTCGACAGAGCTCACACACCTACCGAAAAGGCTTGTCAAATAATCACGTGGATATACCAAGATATGTCCATAGCTCACTTTCATATACGATGCGTGTGCGTTTTCCCTCCGGGCACAGCGCTGCACATTCTTGACGCAATTTCCTCGTGCCGTTGCTGGCACCTACAAGTTGCCCCATTGGTCGCATGTCGAGAAGCCTTTGCAAGTGCCGGTGCCTCGTGATTCGAAACTTTGGGCCGAAGGTATCCAGCCCTGCGGAACTCGCTACACTGGGCATCCAAGGCTGTTGCAACTCGCAGTTTCGATTGAAGAAGGATTTCAGAGGCATCAGAAGGCATCTTTTCATAGTACGGATCGCACGCCGGAGGCTTCATACCGTGGTCGCTCATATCCCTGAAACTCTCGTCGAGGCAGGATGAGATGAACAATCGGAGTATACATCTTTTTGTCTGGGCCTTAATGATGTGGGTCTTGAGGGATTTTGAGCCAGCTCGGTGGAAGGCATTCTGTTTTTTGTTTAAATCTCTCAACTTCGAACCCGGTAAACCCCTAAACCTCGAACTTTCCAGATTTCATTTCGTAAACTTTATTGTTCGTTAGAGTCACCTCTTTCGCAAGACAGGCCCGGAACAGAGCAGCAGGCGGGGAGTCATGGCGGCCCTTTTCACTAGTTCATCGTGCCCTACATTGCAATCTAACTTCCTGCACTTGTTAGGCTCTCCCACCGTGGCTCAAAGTAGTGGCCTGAAAAAACCTGGCGCATGTTAGGTCTGAAGATGTTTGGGTTAAGGGTTGTGGACCCAGCACAAGCAGCTCCCCATACAACTAGCCCGTCTGTCTATCCAAACCTATATGCGAGTTTCAGAACAAGGGACTCCAACATAGAGCCGAAATCCTGGTAGTATCTATTTTCAGGATTCCAAAATCAGGTCCCCCGAAGAAGTTGAAGAACAACCAAGATTGGTATTGCTGAGTCTCTTCCAAAGGCCCTGCCCTTTGTCATTGGCCATGGCGCAATGGGAACCTGGCTGTGCGCCCCGGGCCACGGAAAAGGCGATTTCCGAAGCTGTCGCACGAAGCCGCTGGCATCACGTCGAGCGTTTCGATGCAATGCGGCTGAGTGACCTGGTCGTACTTGAATATAGTATCTGTAGCGATCAGCTGCATGCGACATGGCCAGCCACTCCATGCAAGGTAGTCGCACAGAAGTAATCGATCGGACTTTCATTGGACGGCTGAGATAAGGAAATCCAGCGATCTTCTTCAGTGATCTCCTTCATACCGTAGGCTGGCAGTTTCTACGGCACCAGGACCCCTCAAGAGCCTTTCAATAAATCGCCGGTGATATGGAACACACCGAGGTGCGCACCGCAGACCACGAAGACTGCGGAATGCCACGGAGGCACGTGTGGACTCTGAACCTCCTCCTGCACGCACCTCAAGCACCCAGTAGGCAGGGTGGAGGGTGAAGAAGTGCCCCGGGTTCGAACTTGATCCATCAGCAATCTCCATCATCATGGACGTGGGGGCTATCTGGAAAGAGGTTCAGAGGCTTCATGGGTGCGGAATCTTCTCCAGAAACATGATGCCGGCGGACGCTTCTGCCACACATCCCGGTGCTTCGGAGCAAAGAAAAAACGCCCCTTAAAGACTGATGTCACCAAGACCCTTTCTTTTTTGAGCCTCGGAGCCCTAAACGCAACAAAAAGCCCCCAACAAGCAAACAAGCAAGGCTCGCCTCTGCCCCCTTTTTGTGGTGCCTGTTCTCAGGCGCATCGCGGGCCTTGGAGGGGTTTTTGGCTGGCTGGACTCTTCGGCCTTGCTGGAGGCTTCTTATTGGGAATCTCTAGCAGCCAAGTAAGGGTTCCTCTCGAAGGGATCTGTAGGGTTCTATAAGGGACTGAGGCTTTGGGGAATGATAGGGATTTAGGGTGCGTCTCGTTGCGCGTAAGGCTTGTTGGGCTTTAGAGTGTAAAGCGCTTGAAACCGTGGGCTTCGGGGGTTTCGGATTTAAACGGGATCTTTGGGGTTTTGGGGCTAAGCCCAAGACCTGCCTGCGTTGAAGAAGCTTCAGTTTTGCGAATGGTTTGAGATGCTTTAACAAGACTGTATGTGGTTTTGTAAGGGTGCCGTTCGAGAAGCCGGAACTTCTCCAAACTTCCCACAGGTCAACACATAGAGGCTGGTGTAGGACTTTGTCATTCAGCGGTATGAACCCCGATAGTCTTATCCACCTTTCGGAATTCGCCCCTGCCTGAGGCATGAGTGAGTTCACCAACTGCATAAATTCAAGCCGCAACGCCCGCACTCCCGGAAACTTGCCCAAAGATTGAACCTTCAGCCATGCAGTCCTGTTCTCTTCTCAGCCCCTCGCTGCCCTTGTGCGGGACCTGGGGAGCTCTTCCGCCTTGCGACCATGTATGTATGTATGCATGTATGAATGCATGTATTAGGTATATGGATAGTCATATGTCTATATGTATAGGTAGATAGATTGATAGATAGAAAGATGTTCGCATGTGTACCACCGGCTCCGCACACAAAAAGTTCTCCGAACCCCAAGGCGAGACAGACGATGCGTCGCATCAAGCCCCAAGCTAGTTATAAGGCTGACGGAAGCCTACGCTGACCCCAACATATTAAATTATGCTATATCTATTGTAATATGCAAAAAATGATTATACTCTATAGTCTTACTTAGTATATAAAGTACTATGATATAGTATACTGTACCATAGTATTTTAGATACTAAGTAAGACCCCAAGACCCCAAGAGGCTACGGTGCCCCAACGGCCCGGCGAGCTCCTTCGAAGCCGGCTCAAAGAGCTCGTGCTCCTCGGGCGCTCGAAGTTTGAAGAACAAGCCTTGGGATCGGTATAGGGGAGTTTCCGAAAAGTAGGGGGGGTGCCTTTTTTTGGGCTCCTTAGAATAAGGATCCTACTATTGAGGGTACTAGATTACGTCCCCCTATTTTGAGCCAAGGCGAGTCTGGTTTAGGGTTTATTTAGGGTTTGTATAGGGTTTCTGGGTTTTCGGGATTCCACAAGGCCTCAGCCTTTGACAACCATGTAGTGTATGCCACCAGTCACCATACATAAGCTGTCTGAGCCTGTTTTGAGCCTACTGTTACCAGCGTCTGGAACCGACGTCGACAAAAGCCTTGACCTGCCAGTTGCGCAGCGGGTTGCTAGCACATGCGAGGCAACGGAATGTACTAATGTGAGCCCACCAGACTCAAAATCCCACGTAACGGTGCCGCCGAGCTTAGCGGCAAATTTGAAAAGATGGCAAGCAATAGAGATTCTTGACGTATGATGCCTACTGGCCCATTGCACGATGGGGGCCTGCAAATCACTTAGACTGTCCATACGACTCCTTAATCTACGTTGCTTCAATGCACCCTAAGCCTTTTTCTGATGGTTACAGCCGCTATCTTTCTCCCAATAGTTCCCATACTAAGGTATCTTGTGATGAGCTATCATATAATACCATATGGGAGTTTCCCCCTAATTTTCGGAAACTCCCATAATATATATATATATATATATATATTTGTAGGTATGTGTGTATACACACACACACACATATATTTATATATGTATACATATGTACTCCGATGGTCCCATGGTCGCCGAACTTCTTCTACACGGCCCAGGTTGGCCTCGCCAGCAGCGAGGACACGACAGCCTCCGGAGACAGCGACGCGGAAGAGGAGACCACGGTTCGGCTTAAGGGCTTTAGGGTTCAGGGCTATAGGGCTACAGGGCTTAGGGCTTAGGGTTGTGGGCTTAGGGTTTAGGGTTATGAGCTTTAGGGGTTTAGATGCTTATAGGGGTTTGGGTTTAGGGATTTAGGGGGGTTCGGCTTCGTGCGCCGCGTGGCTCTGGCATGGCAGGCAGAGAATTTGTAGTCCTCCGTACTGCAGCTGCGACCGCTGTATTTCCAGTGACAGTCCAGTGACACTTACGCCTTTTCACTTTTGTGGTACCTCGCATATCCGCAACTTTTGTACCAAGTTGAGCAGCGACTGTTAAATAGTTTTCTTCTCCTTCTTCTCAGTCTTCGCTCCGTGTCCACCTCCGACTCCTTCTCCTGCATGCTACGTGAAGGAAGCAGCGGCACGGGACAAGGGGGTCTGACGACGGTTGTTGTTGTTCAACGCTCGGTCGGTCAAGCAGCCCGACATTGGATGACAGCGGCCGTCACGTAGGAACACAGCATGTCAGAAGTCGGATGCTCGCAACTTCGCAGGAGCCTCGCGCAGACGCAGGGGAGTCCAAAGATGACTCCGGCGCGTCCAGCGACAGCAGCGACGACGAGGGCGATGAGTCAAAGTCGGAAACTCCTGCGAAGGAGGGGGGGTAGAGGGTTTGGAAGCAGCGCTCAACGCGAGAGATTCTGTTCTTGGGCATCAGGGTCAGAGTGTGGGGCGGACTGTGCCAGGAGGATGCGACCAAGTCAGAGGATAAGGACGACGAGAAGTCCGAGTCAGCTTCCGACGACAGTACGGCGGAGGGTGACGAGAAATCGGAGAAGCCTGACAAAGAGGACGTGCCCCTAGCGAGACACACTCTCTGACTCATGATTTTTGCACTGGTAAACCCTAAACCCCAAAGCCCCCAAACCGTTAAACTCCTACCTGGACCCTCCATGTACCCTCTTTTAGACCCTAAATGCCCCTTATTTGGGACCATATACCCCTATTTGAGGGTACAAGGAGGGTCCTGGTAGGTAAACCCGGTGAGATTTGCAGTGAAGAGGAGAAGGCCTCCGAGCCGAAGACGGAGGGGGAAAGCGAGGAGTCCTCCGGGGATTCCGCAGCTAGGATGCCCAGTAGTACCCTTATTCCCTTTTTGTAGTCCTAGGTTCCTTATAAAGTTACCCAATACCAAAAAGAGAGGCCTTTTTGTTCTTAGGTTACTGGGTATCCTAGGCAGACGAAGAGCCGAAGAAGGAGGCGGAGAAGTCCGAAGCTGTCAAAGAGGAAGAAGAGACGCCCGTGAAGGAGGCTGAAAAGGAGGAAGAGAAGACGGATGGCGAGAAGAGGAAGGAGGAGCAAGAAGAAGATGGCGAGAGTGAGGATGAGAAGCCGAAGAAGGATGCTGCGAAGGAGGAGAATAAGGAGCCGGAAGCATCTGAGAAGAAAGAGAGCGACCAAGAGGATGCAGGCAAGGAGGCAGAGGAGAAGAAGGAGAAAGATCCCGAGGATACAAAGAAATCCGAGCCTGAAAAAGAAGAGAAGAGAGCCGAAAAGGCGGTGGACAAGTCGGAGTCTGGGGAGGAAGAGGAGAAGACCGCAGAAGAGGAGGAGTCAGAGAAGAAAGAAGCAGAGCCCACGGACAACGAGAAGCACGAAGAGTCCGAAAAGCGAAAGGAAGAGAAGCCCGAGGAAGAGGAGAAGCCCAAGGAAGAGGAGAAGCTCAAGGAAGAAGAGCAGCCCAAGGAAGAAGAGATGCCCAAGGAGTCTGTGAAGGAAGAGCAAAAGGTCGAAGAAGAGAAGAAGTTGGAGTCCGAAAAGGTGGAGCAAAAGGTGGAAGAAGAGGAGAAGTCAGAGTCTGAGAAGGCGGAGAAGTCCAAGGAAGACCCAGAAGAGGAGAAGGAGAAGCCTGAAGAATCGGCACCGCCCAAAGAGGAGCAAAAGACTTCCAAGGAAGCTTCCGTGGAGGAGTGAAATCCTGTGGCTGCAGCAGTAGTAGCAGTAGCAGTAGCAGTAGCAGTAGCAGTCGCAGTCGCAGTCGCAGTCGCAGTCGCAGTCGCAGTCGCAGTCGCAGTCGTAGTAGTAGTAGTAGTAGTAGTAGTAGTAGTAGTAGTAGTAGTAGTAGTAGTAGTAGTAGTAGTAGTAGTAGTAGTAGTAGTAGTAGTGCGTAGTCACGTCATCACGGTAGCAATAGTAGCAGTAGAAGTCGTGCTCATGGCGCTGGTAGCAGGCTGTAGCAGTCGTCGCTCGGTGGCACTTCGAAGACTTGAAGCTGCCAGATTTGGTGACTTTCGTGTCGAGTTGGATGCACGCGCTCAATCTTCAGAAGATATTGAATCTTCAATGTTTCCACCTAACAGAGCCCCAACCTCAACTACCAAACCTTCGCACAGCAGTGCAGGAATCAGCAAAGGCTGAGATTGAAGATGGAGAGAAGGACAAGATGCTTGCAGGAAACAGTTGGCACTGATTAATTAGCTTCGAGTGTGTGCAATAAATAGCAATCCAAAACCCACGATGGACAGCCTCTGACCAGTATATGCACACAGTTTACAGGGCGCATTCAGGATGCGCTTCGAAGCCTAGTGAGTCCGTCAAGCCTGTCCCATACATCACGCCAAGGAAGGAAGAAGCGCCCAAGGCCAAGGATTCCGAAGAGACGAAAGAGGCGAAGTGACCAGGGATGGTTCATTCGCTTCAGTTTGCCGAGGTTAGGGTTTGAAGTTTGGGGAGTGTCGGGCTTAGGGTTCATAAGCCTTCTTCGTTGAGTACATCGAACTTGAAGATCCGAGGGTCTAGCGAGAGAGGGAAGGATGCGCTGGGCACTGCAAATTTGTAAAGGTCCGGTTTCCCTGGTCCCTCATGGTTCTTCTTTGAACACGATGAGGGCTTCAGGGATTTTACAGACATCCGGTCGCAGGTTTGTAGACCTCGGGTCGCGTGGCAGCGGAATTTTCAGCACAGTTCAGAGCCGCAGCGTGATGCCAAGTGTCATGAAGTTCCTGCGAAGGCAAAGAAGGAGGAGTCGGAGGCAGGCGCGCCAGAAGAGCAGAAGGAGAAGAAGGACTCAAAGAAGCCCGAAGGTGCAGAAGAGCCGAAGAATGAGGCAGAATCCAAGGACGACCAGAAAGATGGAGAGCCAAAGGATGATAGCAGGGAAGAGGCAAAAGACAAGACGGAGGAAGCACCAAAAAAGATTGAAGAGCCCAAAAAGCAAGGAAAGCTCTCCGGGACGGAAGAGGCAGGATAGCGCCGTGCAGGGATGTGCAGGGCTGTCTTCTTCAACGTCTCTTGTCTCATCATAGCAGTTTAGTGTTGATACAGGTCCGTAGACGGTGGAGATGCGCCATGCTCTACTATAGGTTGACTTCTCCTCGCAATCTTAGGCCATAGAAGTTGCACCGCAGGCACAACTACAGGACCCCGCTTCAAAAACAGGTGCTTCTCACTATTTCTCACTCATTGAACATCAGATCTTCAAGCCGAAGCGTTTATAGATCAAAAGCTTTCGCTTTGCAGCCATTGAGGTCAGCAAAGTGTCTCCCCTTTCTTGCACGAAGCCCTGCCCAAGGCGGTGAACATGATGGGGGAAATGCTAGTGGCCTTGAAGTCCGAAGAGAAGCTTGGCTGCACCCAATAGCGGCTTCATAGTATCATAACGGTTGATGATATAAATCCTGCATTACCTTAAGGACCCTAAAGTTTGGGAATTATAGTTACTTGCTTATTATGGGTAATGCAGGTTTTATATCATCAGCCGAAGCACACCAAAGCTAGTCGCGACCGCTTCAAGGAGACAGCTTTCGGCGCAAAGCACACGACAATGGGGCCTGAACCTGTCAAACCTCTCTCAAGCCGAAGCATGACGCAACAAATCCGGAGACTTCAAAAGCAAGAATAAGGCCACATACAGGCAGCAAGAAAAGCCACCAACAAGCGCACACGTCCTCCAAGACCTGCTCGAAAAACACGGACATGCGGGGGAGGGGGTTCATTGCAAGGACAAGTAATCTAGAGGAAAGCTTGCACATGCGGCTGCATCACGAAGAGAAACTAGTCAGGCAAGTTGGCAGTCTCCTCGTCTTGTCTCTTTCGGGCGTTTCTGCCGTTTTGCATTCTGTTGCGAAGGTACTGAAATTTCTGGTGTTTTTGTGTGGCATCTCCTCCCTGTTTTCATCTTTCCGTGTGCGTTCGGATGCTCGCAGGCCATGCCACAAAGTCACACTTGGGGTTTGTTCGCCGGCGATGTTTGCTGTTCTTTGGAACGATGATGCCACGGGGCCCAATACTTCAATGCTGGCTGGAACTATCGGCATCTATGCTGGGCCCCACGTTCTGTTGCTGTTTCCGGTCCCTTCGGGTCTTCGAGACTTGATGGCCCATGACCTTTGGGCTGTTTTCTGATTCATTCAGGTTTCAACTTGTGGCCCGAGGCTCCAGTTCCCGTGGAATAGTGTAAACCGCACACAGAGATAATGTGACGTGCGAAGCATCTGGTAGAGCCGAGTTTGAAGCTGAATCTCCAAGGACCAGCGAGGACGAAGACAATGACAAGGATGCAGTCCCCAAGGAAAGGAAGCAGCAGGCGGCTACTTTAGTTCGTAAGGCTCCACTCCCACCAGACAAGCTCCTCTTAGACAAGCCCCAAGCAGCAAGCCCAACACCGTTTCATCGAGTATTTCCCTGTTTTTGTGGGCTAATGCTTACGTTGTAGAGTCTATTCCTTTATCAAGGAGGGATCGTGGGCTTGGTGGGTTCCCCACGCCACGCACAGACCGTTAACGATCCGAAAAAGACCTGTGCCTTTTCTTTGCATCCACCACCCGGGGCTGCAAGTGAGAAGAGCTTTTGGAGGCACTCGGCTTGTATGGTTGCGGGGCATAAGCATCAGTGGAGGGTTCCCGTAGGATTCTTAAGTAAACACATAGCATTGCTTGCTCTCCACCCTGCTCAAATTATGAAGCCCTCTACACATATATATATATATATATATATATATATATATATATATACATATATATATATATGTATAACACTGTATATAGATATATGGGCTGGTTACACGCAGCCTCCGCAGGGATCGCATATAAAGATTTCAGGAGATTCGGGATTCCTTCTCGAGGGCCTCATCTTAGGTGTTGGGAATCCCGGCGGTCCCAGCGTTTAAGGCCTGCCTAAGCGCCCCATTATTCTTCAACTCCCGTATAACATGAATGAAAAGCAGCTTTCTTTTTCATGAAGCTGGTTTAAGCTAAAAAAAACCCAAAACCCTTGATCCCAAATCCCTAAACTCTCAACCCTAAACCCCCAAGCCTCCAAAAGAACACCGCGTTCTGCAGACGGCCTTGAGACGCCGATCTTGGGAGCATATTCACGGGTAGTTCTCGTCCCATTTGAAGTCCCCAAAACGTACGGTTTGTAATGTATACAAGGAGCCCTAATTTAGAGAACTACCCATGAGGTTTCACACAGTTCGCCAGGCTATAATGCAGCCCCCACAAGTCTTGGAGTACGGATAGTTGCTGTAGAATTTACCCTCATGCACAGTGTACTGTATGATGTCTCATATAGACAGAGGTAGTTGGTTAGTTGGTAAAGGAGAGACATTGGTCGTACCAATAAGAACATTGACTAAAATTACAAAGCACAGGCCGTCGACATGATGGAGGAGGTCTTGGTAGCGTTTAAGCCGGATGAGACACTTGCACAGCACATATGCGGGACTCGAGGCACGTCCAGACCGTCCAAAGCCCAATACCCTGCAGATGTTCAGGGTCGTTCTGTCAACCCCATATCAGTGGATGTCAGAAAGGCAATGATGTGGTCACGGTTATCATGGTTAGTCACAATTTGGACTCCAATCGTAGTGGTACGACGGTTAGCAAAGATGACGGCGGCATGAATGGAGCAAACAGTAGCATTTGGGCTTTGCGCTTCTAAGTTGGGCTACCTTTCGAAGCCATGTGCAGTTTGCCGCAAGAAAAAGCATTGCTGGTGATGGCGATGTGAAAACGACATTCGTAAAGCGCAGAAGAACTCAATGTTGCATCTCAACCCCAGAAGCACTGCAACGGTTTCAAGGCATCTGTTTGCAGATCGTGAGTCTGCCTGAGCCGAGGAAGCGAAAAGAAAAAGACGGAGAAGAGGGCGTCACCAAGGAGATGAAGCAGCAGGCAGACAAAGCTCGAGGTTCTGCACCGTTATGGCATAATGTCGATGAGCGAAATCCTGCATGGCCCTTTTGCGTTCTATAGGTTTCTCGGGATTGGAGGAAGTAATTACCCATAGAAAGGCACATACCAAACGTCCCATAGCGTGGGTTACCCAGCGTAGTGCAGAGCACAGGAAAGCGAATCTGTTGGAAAAGCGCGCTGAACATGGAGGGACAGGGATGTCCTGTTGACGGGTTGTTAGCCCCGTTCCCTGTCGCAGTCGCGATAAGTTCATGTTGAGACTCAGTTTTGGTTTGCCCAGAAGCGTGAGTGACACCATGCAGCATCCCTCAGACTTCAACTTCGGTTGCTTAATCCTACACTTACAGCAAAACTGATCCACACCCGAGACCCCTGCAGCCTTAGAGACAACCCTTGAAAATCAAGCTGTGAGCGCAGGAAGTTGCGTTCGAACTAAGCTATACTGTACGACACTACCCCATACTCTACTCTACTCTATGCTACAGGCGAAGGAGTACTTCGACTGGAACCGCGCTTGGTATCCCATCGCACCTCTGGACTACCTGCACACGGACAAGTTGGGATCTCGGCCGTGGGTTCGGAGAGGACGGGAGCATGAGTTGTTTCATGGTAATCTTATATTACCGTTATAGTACCCTTAAAGTACCCTGAAGGTAGCTCCCGAATAACCTCCCGGAGAGCCCCGACATGTTGTCTTTGAGAAAGAGCAGTGTGCTACAGCGATGCATTTCAGCATTTCTTGTAAGTTGTAACATGTTCTAGGTAGTCCCGAGAGAAGAAGCACGACAGTAAGCGTGTGCCTCGACCATGACTCTAATTACTCGACCTCTGTTTGTCCACAATTGCCCTCAAAGCACCTACGGCTGGAAGTGGTGCTTCTCAAACTCAGGCCCAACCCCGTCAAGTTGCTGGGAAAGCGAATGGTGGCCCCTTGACTTTCAATCTGCGGTCTACCCGTATTTACACCCCCAAACACACAAGCCCTGCATCCTAAAACCCTAAGGCCCTGAACCTCCCTAAACCCTTAACATACCACAAGTAAACCTCTGCTTTTGACTGTAGAGCTGGTCGTACAAAAGCTTGCTGAGGTTTGGTGCTCCGACGTCGCGGAGAATATCTGGCACGCAGCTCTCGACAGCTGCCCCCACCGGATGGCCCCGCTGTCCATTGGCGAGGCCGGGTGACGGCCCAACTCTATGGAAGCCTAAATAAGTACCAACATTATTCCTTGGGGCCCCTTATGAAAATTCTACTACAAAGGAGCCCAAAGCCCTATTCTAATTGCTAAGGGCCCTACATTTCACGGTAGTGTAGCTGTCGGAATTCTTACTGATGGTATCCCCTGGAAGGCCATACTACGAAAAGTTGCTGTTGTTGTGTTTCAATTCGTCATTTTTATCGTTATTATCATTGCGATTAGTACTTGTTTTGTTGTTCTGGTTCTTGTCATTAATGGTAGACTGGACTCCACAAACGCTACTCGAACTCCCGAGGCCCCTATCTTACAGACTGCTCGACTCGGCGCGGGTCATGTCAAGAGCTGCCCCTGCTCTACGGCATGGCTCGTCCAAAATCGTGAGCTGTAAACCCCTAAACCCCTATACTCCCCAAGCCCCTATAGTACGCTTATAGTAACCCTTATAGACCCCTTAAAGGAACCCCGAAACCCTAAACCCCCTACACCCTAAACCCTCCATCCTGTCGAGGTTTTAGACTCCGGGGAGCTGCGCTGCCGCTACCACGGCTGGTCTTTCAATGGAGTCGCTTGGACGAGCGCAATATCGGCGATTCATGCCACAGCACCACAAGATGCTAGGTTCTATGTGTTTGGAAGAGGGTTGCCGGCACTTCAAAAGTCTAAGATGAAAGGATCCAAAGCCTCCCGCGGTCCTCCAAAGCCGCGCCCTTTTTCTCAAGGCCGGCAGCTGCGTCTGCGTACCGCAGGCCAGAAACGAAGCAGAGGCCGATCCACGAGATCCGGCATTTATGGCTTATAGGGCTTAGGATATGGGAGTTTCCGAAAATCAGGGGGTACCTTATTTTGGGGTCATTATAAGGATCCTACCCTACTATTATTGGGTACTATATCAGGGTCCCCTATTTTCGGAAACTCCCATATGGAGCTAGTGAATAGCCGCCTTGATAAGGTTTTGAAGCGCCTTTAAGGTGTTGGGGAGGATGTAGGGTTTCTGCTGTTTCGTCCTAGCTCTGGATATTGCGTAGCAGTTGGATGATTCCGGAAGTTGGGACACATGTGGGTTCATGTAGTCAGGATCATTGTGGATGTAGGGTATAAGGTCTCTGTGTAGGTCTAGATGTTAGTAAACCTTGCTGTCTTTAGAATGCTAAGGCTCTGTAAAGCCTATAGACTCTAGACGTTCCAGAACCGAGATCGCTCAACCTCGAACAAGAGATCTCTGGGCGAAGCATCCCGAAAGCCAGAGAGGAGGCGCGGATAAGCGGCCTGGCGCGTAGCTGCAACCAAGTTGCAATTTCCAGTGGATGTCAGGGAGGGTGAAAGCTGGAGGAACCTTAACCTAAAAAGCTTAATCCCTCTGTGTCCCAGTTGCTGCCAGCGACCTAGGTTTCCGGTGTGTGACCATGTGTGCGTGTGTCTACATATGCTTGATATTCACAAGCCTCTGTCAGCCGCGTGCATCAGTTGTCGAGACTTCGAGGCCTGACCACCTTCCCGGTGCAGGTGAAGCAGGATCGGGTGAAGGGTCTTCGGGGTTTTGGGGCTTCAGGGTTTAGGTTATGGGAAAAGTCGGAGCGGCTTCACAAGTTTGGGATTTGGGGTTTCAGTTTAGGGTTTCAGGGTTTAGTTTGCTGTTGCAGGTGTTGTGGCACATGGTTCCTGGGGTGGGCGATGGTTTTTGTAGGAAGGTGCGCTGTCAAGGGGTTCTGAGGCTGCACGAGACTCAAACGTACCGGGGTAAGTTGGACCTGAAACGAGGTTCACTTTTCCTGATGCCACTCGCTACAAACTCTATCGCTGGATGTCGAACTGCGTGTGGCGTTATTACTCCCTTCCTTCACAACTGAAGGTTTAGGATAGATTGCGGTAAGCTCCGTAATTCAATTGGATGGCTTGTAACGAGCCAACTCAAGCTTTGGTGGCACTAATGTGATGCTCTACCTGGAACTTTTTTCTGTTAGAACCTTGAGCAACCAGGAAGGATGAAGGGAGGTTAGGTCAAATCATGCTATCGGTGTAGACCAAACAGTGGTACAGCACCACGACTACAATGACCACGATCACTACGACCAAGAGGAGTGCGACCAGCCAAAATGATTTCCCCCGTCGCCTTCCCCCATCTACTGGCGGGATTCAGGACCACTGCGCGAATGCTCCCCCCTGCTCCCAGCGGAGAAAATGGGGGCCCCTATATTGCAGACTTCATCGAACTGATAGGACCCTGACATAGCTGACCATACAAGCCCCTACGTGATTATACTCCTTGACAAGGGCTGGGGTTTAGGGTTTGGGGTTCAGTGCTGATGCAGGGCTTAGTGTGGATCTTCCCGTTCGCCGGACAAGATGCCACCACGCATGCCAAGAAGTGTCCCGGCACAGCTTCAAAGCCATTTTTAGTGGATATGGGGTTTGATTTCTAGGGGAAAGAAACAGAAGCCTTGATTGAATTTACTAGGCACTGAGAACAGGAGTGAGCCAGAAAGAGTTTCTGTGCAGCCAGGCAGTGAGGACACGTGTTCTGAGAGTTTCGGTGCGACTTGATGTGCTTTCCGATGTCCTCGGATGTTTGTCGTATGCCACTCTCCGTTTCCAAATGCCCCCTTCCTGGAGTTGGGATGGATTTAACATGAGTCTAGTCTGAGGTCTGCGCCTTGCGTCACCCCCGAAATGGACGGTGCCGACTCCTGGAGCACAAAGTAAAGCTTTTCAAAGTCTTCAGAGCTAAGCAGCTCTTGCGATGGGGTATGGAGGACTCCTTAGTACCAGGAATCCTACGCATGGAAAGGTCTCCGGCCTCCAAAGTAGGTCCCCTTTCAGATTGAAGCCTCTGCTTTGGGAGAAGCTTTAAAGTTAAATCCCGGCTTGAGGAGTGGATCATGACGGTTGCGCCAGTTGGCTACCAGGTACTTGTCGACTGCTGGGGGGTTGGCATTTCGGTGGGTTTCTGGATGAAATTCCTACATCAAGCTTCCAAGAACTGAAGGGGCTTATTGTAGTCCTTGTCGTTCTTCCGCTAGTCTTTGTTGCGCGGCATTGCTCCTGTGTCAAAAGGCTTGAGTGCCTACGACCATGAGATGGGAGTTTTCAGAAAGGTTCGGCACAGAAACAAAGCCTTCGGAATGCCATGTGTTAGTTGTGTCGTTCCTGTGCTGAACCAGCTCTTTGGGCAGGCCTAGGGGTTGTGGGGGGTTTTGAGTTCGGTGTCATTACTTGGTGACAAGCGCGGTGAAGGCAATGATCCCTGCATGTTTGCCAATCAGGACACACCGAGCTTCAAAAAACTTGCACTCTAAGCAGGAAAGACCACCAACTCGCTTCTCGCAATTCGGGAGCAGCACATGCCCCGAAATCCGCAATTTCACTGGGACGACAGCGCATCACATGCTGAGGCGACTCAGCGTACCCGATGGTAATGGCAAGCATCCCGGCCCCACACCCCTCGACCCACCAGCGGAAGTCAAAGCCCAGCACCCCGAATCTAGAACTTCAAAAGCACGAATAGCGGTTCAAAAGCATGCAAGCTGGAAGCAGGTGTCTGTCGAAAACACGTTCGACCCCTCCCATGCACCCTTCCTTCACAACGGCATTGTCAAGTATGCCGCAGAGCGGGCTGCTCGGCAGCACGATGAAAGGTAGCGTGAAGCTTTGAGATTTCGCTGTTTTAAATAGTGCTAGAGAGCATTGGATCCAAGTTGGCGCGCTTTGCGAGGAGCATATTTGCAAGTCTGCAAATGCTGCTGTTTATCGCTTGCTCGCTTTTCTTATTTGCAAGCTCCGAGCGACTTGATTTTGGGTCACCGGAACTGTCGAGTCTTGTCCGTGATGGCAGGCACGGGCTATAACGAAGTTCGTCTTGCGGGACGATGTTATTTCTGGCAAGCGTGGCTTCGTGCTGCAACACAACGGCCACTCGTGCTTTCAGAGCCTGAAGTCCACTTCTGACATTTTCGGTAAGTGTTTGCATCCTGCCCTCGCAAAACTGCCCCGCAAGAGGTGCCCGGACAGGGTCTTTCGGTCTTTCTATGCAATACATGAATCATTGAGTGGTAAGCAACGAACCCTGCAACCTTGAGCCTAACACTACCTGGAACTGGCCCGAAGTGTGTCGAGGTTATGACGAGTCCACGGAAGGCATCGCTGCAACGAGACAGTTCCTTTGCCAAACGTCTGGCTACCAGAAACCTGCTGATTCAACCCTTATAAATCCCAAAACCCTAAACTGTAAACACCACTCAGTGGGCTTAAGGCAGGCATGGCTTCGGAGTGTGTGAGTAGAAACCGTAAACCCCTTGCAGGTCCTTCAGGTTGACTCATCCGACAGAGTTTCGGGGCACGAGGGCTGGCACTTATGGTTATCGGAGCTGGTTTGGATCATCAGGCAACGGTCACCACCATCCTCAAACATCACCACCACTGCTGCCACCACCACCATCCTGGCCATCATCATCACAACTGTGTGTGTGTGTACGGGAAGTTGAAGTGCCGTTGCCACATTTCTCTCGAATCTCAAGTTCAAGGCTGCTGCTTGCTTCCAGAGGTTCGTGCCACCGTGTTCCAATACCACCGTCTACAAATACGCGGATGGGCGAGTGGAGACGCTCGGTCACACTACTCGGGGTTTAGAGTGAGACCTTGGAGTGGACGAATCTGTACATACAAGGCTTAAGCAGTCGGAATGCCATAAAGCTGAAAACCAGACACGCTGGTGGGGGTTTTCATTCAGGGCTTCAGGCCACCCGCCCTGAGGACGAACCAGCTCTACTTCGTGCCTTGTGGCCCGCATGAGACTCGCTACATCGTGAACCTTGGTGCCGGTGAACGGCGCAGGCCCAGAAGGTGAAGTGCTGTCATGCTGCCCAGAGCATCGGAATCTACTTGTGTTGAGCCCCACGTTCCTTCGAGCACTGCGGAAACTGCGGACTTGCAGCGCGTATCGGTCCATGATTCTCTTACGTTCCTTTCTCGGGGAAACGGAGGCGGCTGCCGACGATCATGGAAGATGTGCTCCACGTGTCCTCCGGCTTGGGCTGAGGCTTGAGAATTCTCCAGAATTGGATTGGAAGTTTTCTGCGGGCTCCAAGCACTCGTGTAGGCCGTCGAGTTCCTTCGGTGCTGCTAGCCGATGACCGTGATGATGGTGATTCTGTGAATGGTGGTCTTGCTTGTAGTAGTCCTGCAGTAGTTGTCGTCCTTCTTGTGGGCCAGGCCGCGCCAGTGCAGTCTCTATTTTGCTGGCCCTTCGATGAATGTTCCTTTTAGTGTAAGCTCGTCGAATCCAACTGCCTCTGATTTTCAAAGATGGAATGTTTGTTGAAATGCCCTCGAAACTCGCACATGGCTTGTCAATTTTTGAAATCCGCCAGTACGTTGATAGCTGGAGAATCAATTCCTAAGATGAGGAAGCCGACAATGGAACGCATCGCTTTTAGAATTGAATCAGGCAGCCCTCCGCCACTGCGTGATTCGCAGATGGGGAACTTCCACTACGTATAACCCACAACAGCGCACAAGACACAGAAATTGTTCATAGTTCATAGCCTTTTTCTCAAAAGTGTAAAGCTGCACTGGGCTCCTGGATAAGCTTCAGTCATTCGAGACTGGAGACCTGGGTTTTTGATCCCTTTACTAAGGCTTTTCTTCAACAAAATCTTCGGCATCCTGTCCGCACCAGATCGCTCTGGCCTTGCATGTATAGTAGAAGCCAGAAAGTTGGAACATAGTTGTCATACCCTTAAGGTAAACTATGAGGGATCCTAGCACTGATCCTCCTAAAGCCATGTTCCAACTTTCTGGCTTCTACTGTAGATTGCTGTGCTCTTGAATGTAGACCTCGCGGGTGAAGCGTGAGGCCCAGAGAGAACAGCCAGCTTGCTGTGCTCTGGGAGCAGTATCGACTCCCTGGCCCTCATGAGCTCAAAAAGATATGGGAGTTTCCGAAAATTAGGGGGGTACCTTATTTAGGGGTCCTTATAATAGGGATCCTACTATTTAGGGTACTATATTGGGGCCCCCTATTTTCGGAAACTCCCATATCCCGAAGTCATATCTGCTCCGTTCAGGATACCGCTTCCAAGAGCAAGACTTAATGGCCATGTGCGGACAGGAGACGCGTACACTGGTCTGTGCCAGTCTCGGCTCGATTTGGGAGTTTCCGAAAGTTAGGGGTACCTAATTTTTAGGGTCCTTATAATAAGGCTCCTATTGTAGCTAGGGTACTATACTAGGGTCCCCTATTTTCGGAGACTCCGGTTGGGCTTTTCAAGCGCGCAGTCCGCGTTTGTGTTCCGGTTGCATCGGGCCGGTCGGGTGTGATTTGCCGAGCTCTGCAGGAGCGGGCGCTTCAGGAGAGTTCCAACTATGCCTGGGGAGAGCAATATGTGCTCGGCCACGTGGACGCAGGAAGATCCCCCGAAGTGGAGGGCTCGAGGGTTTGAGAGCTTGTAGAGTTTACCAGTAGTTTACGATGGTGTACTTGAACACCTCAAGAAAGCCGACCTTTTTTCGCGTTCTTTTGTATCATGTCGCTTACTGTAATCAAGAAAAATGCAGGTCTTGTGGGCTTGAAAGGCTTGCATCCTTAGGTTTTGGGGTTGTCGGGTGATGTCATCAAGGGCAAGGCTTCCGGCAACTGGACAAGGATGACATGTGAGGCGCGTCCTTGTTGGAGACTGGATTGAAAAGTAGATTCTGTTGGCATATCAACGTAACCTCCACAACCCCTGTGATGATACGCCTGATGCTCAGAGAACTCCTAAGGCACTCCGGCTGACAAGGGCGTCGAGGTGTTTCGGAGCCTTGGCAAAGCTATCAGGCATGTTGAGAATGGACCCGCGAAAGCGCCAACGGGTTCGCGGTTTGGGAATGCAAGAAGCACAGCACGCATGGAGGTAGGGTAGGACAGAGACCATCGGCACAGAGGTCGACGAATATTCCCCTTCTGCTTAAAGCCGTAACCTGTAGTCTTAGAGAAGTTAGAGAAGCTTCTCCACCTCAGGAGATGGTTCTACGAGTTTGCCAATGGAGGGCCCTACTTTCCCAGGTCCTCCAGGAGCAAAGGGGTCTTCAGGGCTTACGGCTGGGGTGTGACGGTTTCGAACTTCGTTAGAGGCTCCACGGACTTAGTAAGTTTTTAATAGGTAATGAATACATTACCCTATCCATCGGCCGACAGAAAAACACGGATTCGATTGGTAGTTTCAAGCGGATTGGGTCCGATTGATATTTTCAAGCGGATCCACTAGTTTTCTGAGAAAACCAAGCGAAACAAAAACCTAGCGGGGAACCAATAGCAGCATATAGCAAAAACCAAGCGGAGCATTCAGGAGCACGGGTGTTTGACCGGGCTTGAAGCCTGCGATTTCTGGTTTCACAGGTTTTCACAGATCTTCACAGGTTTTCACAGATCTTCACAGGTTTTCACAGATCTTCACAGAATTTCACAGATCTTCACAGAATTTCACAGATCTTCACAGACTAATCTGTGAAGATCTGTGAAATTCTGTGAAAACCTGTGAAATTCTGTGAAAACCTGTGAAGACCTGTGTGCTTCAGAATTCCGGGTTGGGCTCGATGTTTTTGGTGTGCTGGGCACGGGAAACCAAGCGAAATCGTTGATGAAAAACCTTGCGGAATCGATGATAAAAACCTAGCGGAGAACCTAGCGGAGAAAATAGCATCCCAACCGATTCCTAGCGGGTCCGATAGAAAATGCCAAGCGCACATGGTATTTTCAAGCGCAGCAGAATCGATTGGTATTTTCAAGCGAAATCCAGTGTTTTTTCAAGCGTGCGATGGTTAGGGTAAACGGAGTTACCCCAATAATAACCCCACTTCTAACCTACTTACGAAATCACCTGGGCCTCCAAGTAGGGCCGTGAAATTCATGACAGCGTGCAAGGTATCCAGGGGCTTCAAAACAGAACCTTAAACCCTCCTGGATCTGGCAAACGGACTTGAACAGCTGACCGCCAGAGCCGTCCCCATGAAGCAATCGCATGTTTCAGCCGAAGCTTCAAGCAGGGTTTGGGGTTTTTTTAGGGTAGGGAGTGTGGCAGTGCTGCTTCCCAGCTGATCAGCAGAGTCTGGGTTCAGAAAAATCTAGGGTCGGGAGAGAGTGACTTCTCAAAGGACGCTGCCGGCCACGGATTCGATGCTCTTTGACCGGTGGCAAAGACATTCGAAGCACTGTGTGAGGCTCAGGACATCGAGACACCTTTAATATGCCGTAATCCTAAACCTTATAGGCTTCCTTTAAAATGGGTTCTATAAGGGTAACTACTTTGGTGGGTTGCTCGTTCTAGTTATCGTACAATAAGCCCCAAAACTCTATTGTAATTATTAATACTATGCTTGAACAGGTGCGCACATGTTCCTAGGAAGGGCATCCCCGCTTCGAAGCCCAGCATGTTGGCTTCACAGATGTTAGATGTCACGTCCTTTGGGCGAACACAAGCAGAACCCTTCCAGAATTCGTATATATAACGCAGTGTTCTACCTTGTGTGCAGAGGATGCAACGCATACTCCAGTTTTACAACTTTTGCAACTCCCTCTGTCACCAGAATCCTTGCATGCAACTTCCAAAGGAACATGGCCGTCTGAACGAACATGTCCGAGTAAGGCCCGCGCTGTCGACGCGTCATGCGGGCCTTTGGTGACTTGGCAGCTGGTTTAGCTCGGGCTTCGGGCCGAGTGGAGATAAGTGAAGAGAAACGTCAGGATCCACAGTAATAAGGAGCAAGAAATGACATCAAGATATATAGGGGCTTTAATAATGACCTATACTTGTCAGCACTATTTTCTATGTTACAAAGGATCCCAGTCTCAGTCTCTTCCCCACAGCAACGGCCGTTCCCTAAGTCCGAAGGTCAAGGGTTTTGGGTTTGGGTTCGTCAGAGGGCGAAACGATAAGTATGGAGATCTTCGGCCTTATCGGGAGCACGACCTTCGATTTGTGCTTTTGCCAGGAACTCTAAACCATTGAGATCCTAAACCTGTTGAGAAACACCATTGGATCGTTGCGACATCCGGTGGAAAGACTGTCCGGACTCGTGCAGCTTGCCATAAAAGATGCCAGCATTTATTCTCGACGCAAACACGATTGAAGAACACGAAAGCCATTCCATCGGACACACAAAGCACTGTCTATGCCTGTTTCGCCACATCAAAGCAGAAAAGACAGCCTCTTGAAGAACTCCCACGGAACAGCGGCTACCTTAGGGCGAGCTTTGCGGTAACGAAAGCCCTGATGTTGACAGTCAACGCGTTGGCTGAGGCACGGTGCAGGGCGCAGCGGGCAGGCCCCTGAAATGTTTTCGCGGTTTGTGAAGTGATCGGAGCCACTTGTACGGGGTCTGAAGGACTGCGGGGTAGAAGTGCTGAGTTCGAGGTTTACAAAACGATCATTGCAGATATGTCGCTGGTGCTTGAGGACGAGAATCCTGGCTCCCGGTTCATCCAACTGTCGAGCTCCTGTTTGTAGGCTCAGATAATGCTCGACGTAATTTCAGTTCCTAAACCCGAAGCCCCAAACCTAAACCCTACACCCTACACCCTAACCCCTAACCCTTCCAAGCTTGCGACTTTCAGGGTCTCGGTTTGCGGGCTCATTGCCTCCGCCGTCTTCTTCTTCCTCCACCGCCGAGAAGCAACAGAAGCCGCGCTTCTCGCCACTTGGGTCCAAAGAAACCAGTAGAAGTAGTAGTAGCAGTGGTAGTGGTAGTAGTCGTAGTAGTAGTACTAGTAGTAGTAGTAGTAGTAGTAGTAGTAGTAGTAGTAGTCGTAGCAGTCGTAGTAGTAGTAGTAGTAGTAGTAGTAGTAGTAGCAGCTTTTCCCGAATGCTCCACAGTACAATGCATCTTTCGCCACTCCAGAGCAACTCGTGTTGCACCAGCGGACATAGTCCGGCAAGCCGTAGGTTGTAGCACCAGGCCAGCCTGTTTGGGAAGGCTGGGCAGCTTGGGCCATTTGTGCCGTTACCGTGTTCTTCCGCTGGTACGCGAATGGTTCAGCTGGGCTGAGGCATTCTTGTGAAGCTTCCTTATCGCTGATGTACATCTTGTCACCCAACCGGTAGAGCATCCCCGAACTCCCGACCCGCGACATCAAAATCCTGTAAAGCCGCGACCTTTCCCAAAAAAAGCAGATTCGAAAACACGTACAGACGACTTCAGTGTCCCGAGGCGACTTTGCTCTCTGCTGCTCTGGGCCGATGGGCCGCTGCGGAGCGTTGGGGCTCCGTGGCACAACACCGTCAATAAACACTAGTGGGGCCCAGAGTTTGGGGTTTGGGGTGTGTATGTGTTGATCTACACGGTGAATCTACACCGACGCTTTTCGAATACTAGCAATGCAAGACGCCCTGGCGAAGATGGAGAGAGTTGTAAGATCATGATTGTTGGACAGCTGACCGAAGTGTGCCAAGACTGAGAAAAAAGGGTGTGGCTGTAATAGTAACGCTCTGTGCGGAAATAGAGCAATGGGCAAAACGGCCTCAGCCATGAGCACAGCCGTACATGACTGGGATAATAAGCGATACTAAAGAAAAATTGTAGTCGCACCAAGAAATTCTGTGATCATGGTTAGGAGAAAGAAAATCCGCGCCAGCTGTGGATGCGGTTCTTCGTCGTTTGTGGACATTCTGACTTAAGTCATAAATCGATCCTTCACCGGCTCTTTGTGATCAGCTCGGACTACAGCATGTAGGGTCTACTTTTCTAGGATCAGTTCGAGGGTTTTGGGATTGGGCTCTACGGTTCTTTTGCTATTGGACGGTGTTTGCGGTACACAAGCTAGGCTGGTGGGATTTGTATCAGGTGAGCAACAGCAATGTTGAACTCTATGCCTCAGGGCCTATCACTCAGCAACGAGTAGCTTTGCACATCCCCTCAACGGATCCAGCAGCTGCTGCAATTTGAGGGAAATGGACAAGCTTTCTGCAGGAGCACGTTTCGGTCGGGTGTTCACTAGGACTGCCAAGTGTACTTTCAGTTCCGATCCGAGAACAGCCTCAGGCTTTGTGTCCTCCATGCCACTGAAGGGGCTCATGGAAGTTGCTGTGCCTTGGCGAAGCTTCTCCTTAAACCCGAACTCTGGCACAGTTCTGAGTAGAAGGTTTTTTTGTTACCTCGCGATTCGGTCAGGTGTGAGGATTCCGAGGCACGGATGCAAGCCGGATGGCATCGTGAAAACATCTCTGTGGCAAGGGTTTCGGTCAGTTTCTTTCTGTAGGCAAAGCGCAGAGGAGGGGGAGGGGAAGGGTTTGAAGGCCAAGATGGACAGAAAGCTTTGTGCTTTCAGCGGCTTTAGGGTTCAAAGTTTTGTGCAGGCTTCAGGGTTGGTGAAGATGTTCAAAGCCCATGACCTGGAGCCGCGAAATATCAAGGTGTACAAAGACGCCGCAAAAGATGACAGAGTGAGAAGCAAATGATGATTTCAACAGTTTCAATTCAGATGCCTGGGAACCCTGCACTTAAGTGTCGCTTCGGTTCGCCCAGCAACTCTTTCCTTCAGGTGCAGAAGCGATGGTCCCTTTCCCCAAGGAAGCTCCGATTCTAGCAGTGAGCGAGATCTTTTGCATTCTCGGTTTACGTAAGTCTGAGCACGAACAAAACCATGCTGTAGCAAGCGTGCTGCTTGATCTTCAGCACCTGAAGAAGTTTCAATCTGGAGATGCCAGATGCTGCAGGCTAGATATTGTTCCGGCGAATGCCATGCGATCGTCGTCACCTGCTGAGATTCCAGGCAAATCCAGTGCACACGATTGCTATGTATTCGAAGAGGCTTCTGCTAGCTCACGGGTGATTTTTCTGCAGTGACAGAACACAATAGCTCGGAACTTGAACACGATGCCTGCATGGAAGTTGCCCATGACGGCGGGAAGCCAACTTAGTTAGGCGACAGTCGTGCTGCCTCCGGCTCGTGGTTTCAGAATTGCTTTGGGCAACACGAAGACGAGGACCAAGAGAAGTGCTGATGGTGAGCACCATGGGCCAGATTCGTAGCCGTGATGGAGACGGTGGTCGTCGTACTACCAGCACCCACACAAACGATCGTTGTTTGCGCGAGTGAGACTGGCAGACATGTCTGCAGATCAAAGGCTCAGCATAAAACGGATAGTTGGCCAGCAGGAACCAAGGTCAGGGTTTTGCGAAAGTTGGAATGGTAATGCCAGTGTGTTCACAGGCCTCCTCTCCGTAAGCTTTTGCAGGTCCGCCCGATCGGGGGCCAGAGCATAAGAAAGAGGTTTGTTTAGCTGCTGGGGATGAAAGCCAGACTCCGCCACCGAGGACCTACCTAGGAAAGCGCTTCCTTAGCTGCTTGACTACTGGTAGTGTATGGACGTGGGTTCTACAGTAGGTGCCTCGAACTGTAAGGGGCAAACGCCACTCAGCCCAGCTTGGCAGCACATCTGAGCCCTAGTAGAATGACCTCCCGCCTCTTGCCGAAAGAAAAGATGCCATGAAAAGCCGATCTGGTTGATACAGGGGCCTAGATAATTGCCATACTCTTTTGAGCGCTCCTTATCATAATTACAGTATAGTGTACCCCCAAAACCTTAGCCATACTAAGGCCCCGATACTACCCAACAAAGGAACCAACTACAATGGAGACTCTAGGTATGTTGAGACCTGGAAAGGGAACAGGATTCAGCATTTGGGATTTCAGCGCTTGCAGGTTTACGGCCTTTCGAGGGTTACGAGGTGGTCGCCCAATCCCTAAGTCATGAGGAGTCCTGTGCTCTGTACGGATCCGGATCGGGACCCCCTTTGTGATGCAGTGGCTTTGTTGGATTTTCGGGCCTACTCGGCAATGCTGGAGGTACTGAAAGAATTTGGGAAAGCTTGTCTGCGGGTATGCTACCCGGTTTGAGGGTCCAGTCGAGGGTTTTCTCTGTCCGAACTTCGAGATCTCCAACCAAGCCATGCGATCCCAAATCATGGCTCCCCGGAATGATTCCCCGAGCATTGGCTTCTGAAGTGCCGACCCTCTAGAGTGCAGTTGAAACCGCCATCGTATTTGTTATCTGTTACCTCGTCTCTAAGACGGAATCCCAAAGCCACACGATTTGTTGAAGCTATGCAAAGAAGGCTCACGCCGACCCCAGCCGGACCTGAGAGTCTACAGACACAGCTCGCCTGTGTGAAAATTGGGTTAGGTATGTTTTGTTATTTTTTGTTCTGTCTCCTTCCTCCTTGGCCCCTCCATGTACTTTGGATGCGGAAATAAAACGATGTGTTTCTGTCTCTTTCGTCGTCCTTTGCATCACCGGGTGCTTCTTGTCCCTTTGACTATCGTGTGAAAAGAATGCGAACAAGTGATAAGTGATTTCGGAAACTCAGACTCTGGATGCTTAAAAACCCAAGCGACTGGAGCTAGCTTGCAAGGTTTTGTAAGCCCTATCACGCGCTTTAGGGTTCTGTTGCAGCTCATGTTTGCAAGAACTGTTGTGAGTCCAGGAGCCGTAGACTATCACGCAGTGGATGGTAACAACAGAAGACTCAGTAGTCATAAGATTGAGGACAAAGCAGTAGCAGTCGAGAACGTCGCAATGCTGACTCTTCAGAAAATTGTCGTGATGACACCGAAGAGCACAACAGTCATGATCATCATGCTAAGCACAGCACACTTACAATGCCGAAAATGCTCACAGCAAGAAGCATGCCGCGATGATAGTATTCATATCTAGACCACCCATCATTTCAAGCGTCAGCAACTCTGCTTTATGAGTGTGAAATAATCTGGCAACAACATCATCATCACCATCAACCACTACTCCTAGTAGGAAGCGGTAGTAAGTAGTAGTAGCAGCAGTACTACCACTACTACAACAACAGCTACTACTACTACTACTACTACTACTACTACTACTACTACTACTACTACTACCACTGCTGCTGCTAACCACTACTACTGCGGGACATATATTTAGTCTTATTCTTTGACAACGGGTATTCTTTGTCCATAACGAAAGGGTGTACACGGTAGTTAAAGTCTATATACATTGATGTTGTGGTACCGAGCTTTCGCAGAGCAATGGGGGTCATTGTTGCTTCCAGACGCTCGTCGTTCAGCGTTCATGTTGCTCTGCTGGCAGTCCCTAGGCGCTGCTTGAGCATGCCTTCGAGACTGGTCTTAAGGAGGAGTACAGATTGTAAGGTTTTTCAGGGCCTCCGAGAAGAGTCCAGGTCTATTGTTCGGAGCTCAGCTTTTGCTTGGCCGGCTCCGCGGACGTGATCCACTCCACGTGGGAGGCCTTCGCAGCCAGGAACACGGACGGCACGGTCGTGACTTGGGGTAATGCGGCCGCCGGAGGAGATTCCAGCACTGTGAGCGCACAGCTGACGGATGTAGACGACATCTCTTCCAATGGCCAAGCCTTCGCTGCAAAGAAGACGGATGGCACAGTGGTGACGTGGGGTTTTTCATCCAGCGGGGGGGATTCCACTAGCGTGAGCGGGCAGCTGACGGATGTGCAGGTGATCTACTCCGGTGATGCATTGGCCTTTGCCGCGAAGAAGACAGACGGCACAGTAGTGACTTGGGGTAGCACAGGTGGCCAGCACACGGATGTGGAAGTGGTGTACGTCGGCGGCGCCTTCGCCGCGAAGAAGACGGACGGCACCATTGTCACTTGGGGTTCAACAGGCGTAGGAGGAGATTCCAGCAGCGTGAGTGGCCAGCTGACCGATGTGGAAGTAATCTACTTCAATCGATTCGCTTTTGCCGCGAAGAAGACGGACGGCACAGTGGTGACATGGGGCAACTCAGGAAAGGGAGGAGACTCCAGCAGTGTGAGCGGCCAACTGACCAACGTGGATGAAATTTTCTGCAGTTCGACAGGAGACACCTTTGCCGCAAAGAAGACGGACGGCACAGTTGTGACTTGGGGAAACTCCGCAAACGGAGGAGATTCCAGCAGTGTCAGCAGCCAACTGATTAATGTAGCCGTGATCTTCCCAAACCAATATGCTTTCGCTGCGAAGAAGACGGATGGCACCGTCGTGAGTTGGGGTGATTCAGCTCGCGGAGGAGATTCCAGCAGTGTGAGCGGCCAACTGACTAACGTGGATGTTATTTCCAGTAGCCACTGCGCCTTCGCCGCGAAGAAGACAGACGGTACAGTGGTGACTTGGGGTCATGCAGATTGCGGCGGAGATTCCAGCAGCGTGAGTGGCCAGCTGACGAATGTACAAGAGGTTTACTCCAATCCATTCGCTTTCGCCGCGAAGAAGACGGACGGCACGGTAGTGACTTGGGGCGATTCAGCTCGCGGAGGAGATTCCAGCAGTGTGAACGGGCAGCTGACCGATGTGGATGTGGTCTACCCGAATGATTATGCCTTCGCCGCGAAGAAGACGGATGGAACAGTGGTGACGTGGGGTCGGTCAGACCTGGGAGGAGATCTCGGCGGGGTGACATTCCAGGCAGGTGTTTCCGCGCTAATGACTCTGCGAGTCACTCCTAGTCACACTCTATACTCACTACTCTCCCTTGGCTCCCATAGCCATAGCCTCGGCCATAGGACGAACGGACTTTGAGCCAAAGCCGAAAATGAAGCGCCGGCAGAGTTTTAAACCTGTCCTCTCTGGACAAGTTCCCTTAGCTTTGACATGATTAGCACTCATCGACCTATCCTCTCCAGGCATGCCTCCCAAGCCTAGCCATGCGCTAGCGATGCCTAGTCGCATCTCCGGGCTCTACACGAAGCTGAATGCTATAGCTCCAGGCCGCAACAACCACATCGACGACAACGACAAGCTCGTCAACATCCTCCACATTCTCCACATCCTCGACATCAGCGACATCGACATCAACATCACGGACATCAACGTCATCGACATCAGTGTCATCCACGTCATCCAAGTCAACTTCAAGCACGTCGACATCATCATCGTCAAGCGCGTCAGCATCGTCGACAAGCACGCTGTCGACATCAACCTCGTCGACATCCTGGACGACAACTTCATCAACATCAACAACTAGCACATCCATGTCTCGAACATCTACATCGTCGATATCGGTGTCATCAACAACAACATCTAGCATATCAACGTCCGGAACATCTACATCGTCGATATCGGTGTCATCAACAACAACATCTAGTACATCCATGTCCCGAACGTCTACTTCGTCGATATCGGTGTCATCAACAACAACATCTAGCACATCCATGTCCCGAACGTCTACTTCGTCGATATCGGTGTCTTCAACATCAACATCAAGCACATCGATATCGAGATCATCAACATGGACCTCTTCGACATCAGTGTCTTCAACATCAGCCTCATTAACATCGACGTCAACCTCATCGGCATCAAGCACGTCAACATCATCTACAAAGTCATCGGTTCCAACATCAGGCACATCAACTTCAAGCACGCCCATGTCATCAGCTTCAAGTACATCATCGTCAACATTGGCCTCTTTGTCGTCAGTGTCTTCCTCTACATCAACCCCTTCAAGGTATGCGACGGCGGGGAGCAGGGCAGCCGCCGTGATGATGGAGTTGGAACGCAACACCGATCTGCTGGTGAGCGACTGTGCTACTGAAGTTCTACGGTCAAGGAAATCAAGAATTTAGAAACCCTGGCATAAACTTGATTAACAACCTGGCAGGGATTGAAGACTTCCTCTCTGGCAGCTGTTCGGCTTTCCGAGGTCAGCTGAAAGACGGCCAGGCAAGCATCACGACGGATTCTGGCATGATGACGGCTCTCAGGCTTCGGGCTCAGTAACTGTATAACATGTATTAACATGTCACAGCTTCTTGCATGACATGTTGCTTGCTGTGCTTTGAGAGACTTCGGATTCTCTGCATGAGATTATGGTGGAGTTGGTACTGTTGGTACTGGTGTGCAGGTGTGGTGCCGGAGGGCGTTCGGACATAGGTACCCCCCCCTGCACGAGGTTGCCAGCCATCGCGGCCAACTCGAGCTACTTGGCCATCACTGTCAACAGCACTTCGGCCGCTTTTGCCCTGCCTTTGGAGGCCTCGGATGAAACTAAAGCGAGCGTTGGAGACTGTTTCGTTGCATGGGCAATCCTTCCTAGTGCTACTTGTAGAGGGTTTCTGCTTGGGGTTTTGGACGTTTGAAGATGGAGCTGCGCGCAGCTCCGTTTTTCTCGTGCCCGGCAGAGTGGAACACATCAGTATAAGCCTGTGTTGAGAGGCCGTAGGCACGGATTACCTTGTCGTGCTGACGGTCCTGGACATGGAGACCTCGGATGAATTGGGCGGCAAGTCCCAGACAAAGGCAGGCCGCCCCATTGAAGCCGCCCCTTTGCCCTTGGTGGACGTCACGCTCGTCGACTCGCAGACCCGGAACGCGCAGGAGGTGCGCGTGGCCGAGGACACGCCCATCTACGTGCGGATTGCCGCTGTGCCGCCTGAGCCCAACTGGATCTGTGCAGCCTGGTTCAGATAGTCTTGAACCCTGTCAGCCCCTAAACATCCCTGAGCCCTGAAATGTGCGACGTATGTGCATTTTCCCCCTGGGCAACCAAGCTGCAGTAGGGTGAGTTTGTTAATTAACTCGGGTTCTTTCAGCGTTCCTCGAAGACTAGCCGAACCTGAAACCCCCCAGCTCCACTGAAGGCTTATTTGGACGGCAACAGCTGGTCGCAGGAGAAATCCCTCAACCTTAAACCCTGCATAGTTAGCCCTAGCTATGTGGGAGGAAGCAAAACACACCACACAAAGAGACCTCAACCCCAAACAGGAGGGCGTGCACCTGGCGACGATGCCAGAGCTGGAAAGAGCCTTGGGAGCCAACACGGAGACCTACGGCACTTGGTGACCCTCCTGAAAAGGGAGAGGAGCATACAAAGAGCACCTAGAAGGCTACCCTAGTGTGCCGTGCAGCGGACGCCACTTTCAAAGATCATTTAGAGCCGAGCGAGGCGAGTCTTGATCCTCGAGCTGGTTTGTCTTGGATTGTCAAGTGTCTATAGGTCTAAAGATGGTGTGTTCTGCATCTCACGCAGGGACGTGCTACAGGGAGGTGTAAGCCCTCAAGAACCTTGGAAGCTTGCTTCAGTGTCTCAAGGTGCGCCACATCCCACCTCTCCTTCTTCGGCGTCTTTGTTGACATTCTCCTGGACTGCACGCCGCTCGGATCCGGATTCGCGCCCGGCCCGCCCGGAGCAGCAAGTCAGCGTTTCTGCTGTCTCTAAGTCTACACTACACTCCACTCTCTTTTCCTCCGGAGCGCAGCAGTCGTGCTGGTAGGACAAGAACCGCAGAAGCCCCCTCCTGCCAGTGTTTCGTGCACGTAAGTTGCTTGTCTGGCCACAGCCGGCTGCTTTCTTCCCAGGAACGTGAACATGCTCACGCCAGAAGGGCTCAGAGAGATCGTGGAGAGGCAGCGGGGCCCTTGTTCAGGAACTGACTCTAATAGGTCTAAGTTGCAACTACGATGTTTATATACATGTATGTATGTAGAATGGTGTCCCGAGCGAGGTCGTTCGAACTCGAAGGTTTGAAAGTTTGGAGGTTGAAGTTTGAAAGTTTCAATCTTTGCAGGTTTGAAGGATCGAAAAGTGCTGGAGTTCGAAAGTTTGTGCAGCTTGGTGTGCACAGGCTAGCCGGCGTCAAACTTCGAACTTTCAAACTCGAAACTTTCAAACTTTCAATCTCTCTAACTTTCGAACTTTCGAGCTCGATTGGCTGCTTCAAACTCGAACTTCAAACTTTCGGCGCGGTCGAGTTCGATCGGCCTTGGAACTTTGAGAGTTCGAGAGTTTGAAAGTTTGCAAATTCGAAGGTTCGACGGTTTCAAACTTTGAAACTCAGAAAGTTCGAATTTTCGAAGGTTTGAAAGTTCGACAGTTCGAAAGCTTCAAAGGTCGAAAGTTCGGAGTTTGAAAGGTTGGCTTCAGATTCGCTCTGCGGCTTAGGCTGAGGTAACGAGTTTGAGAGTTAGAAGGTTCCAGACTTCGAAAGGTTTCAAGTTCGAAGGTTTGAAAGTTTCAGAGATCGAGAGTTTGAAAGGAATGAAGCTTCGAGAGTTTGAGAGTTCGAATGTTTGAAAGGTTGCAAAGTTTGAAGGTTTGAATCGCGTCGAGCTTGAAAGTTCGAAAGTCCGCCGAGTTGCGAGCTCGAAAGTTTGAGAGTTTGAAAGTTCGAAAGTTTGAGTTAGAAAAGTTTGAATGTTCGAAAGGCCTGGCATGTGGTGGCAAATGACACAAGCGGCATTGCACTAGCTTATGCTCGTGCCCAACCGCGGAGACTACCGTGCAGTTGTTGTTGTTGTTGTCGTTGTAGTTGTAGTTTTAGTTGAAAACGTGATGTAGTTGAAGCTAAATTCGTAGTTGTCGTTGTCTTCGTTGTTGTTGTTGTTCTTCTTCTTGTGGTTGTGGTTGTGGTTGTGGTTGTGGTTGTGGTTGTGGTTGTGGTTGTGTTGGTGTTGTTTCTGCGTGGTGGTGGTGTTCGTGTTGTTGTTGGTTGGGTTGATGATGTTGCTGCTGCTGTTGTTGCAATTGCTGTTGAAGTAGTAGTAGTAGTAGTAGTAGTAGTAGTAGTAGTAGTAGTAGTAGTAGTAGGAGTAGCAGTAGTAGTAGTAGCAGTAGTAGTAGTAGTAGTAGTAGTAGTAGTAGTAGTAGTAGTAGTACGAGTGGTAGTAGTAGTAGTAGTAGCAGTAGTAGTAGTAGTAGTAGTAGGAGTAGGAGGAGGAGTAGGGGTAGGAGTAGTAGTAATAGTAGTAGTAGTTGTTGCTGTTGCGGGTTGTGGTTGTAGTTGTCGTTGTATGGTAATTGTAGATGCCCAGGTTTGTCAATACGCTTGTCTTTCTATCATTATGACTGTCATTATTGCTGTTAGGTTTTTTTATATATGGTTGTAAATTATCTTTGCATTTGTTGTTCTTGTTTGGTTATTCCGGTGTTACTATTACTGGTATTTTGTTATTCCTACTGTCTTGTAATTATCTTTCTTCTGTATCATGCTTATTCTCATCATGTTTCTGAATTCTTCTTTTCGTTATTACAATTTTTCCTGTGGTGTAGTGTCATGATTGCTGAAATTCCTATTATTGCTGTAATTCCTATTATTGCTACTATCGTTATTATTATCTCTATTCTTTCATTATCATATGGTTTTTGAGTGTTAGTGGTATTCTTATTATTTTTGGATCTGTTGTTGTTCTTTTTGCTATGACTACGATTATTATTATGCTTAGTCAGGTTGCTGTTCCTTGCTATTGTTGCTGTTTTTCATTCTGATTATTGATGCTATTGTTACTTTTACGATTATTTTATTATCGTCACACTGGGAAGGATCTGGAACCCTTCACCAAGGCTTTCGCCTTTTGGGCTGTCGGATAAGACGTTTCAGTCGTCATTTGCAAACCTTTCCAAAATAAACTGTTGTTTTTCTTAGCTCTACCCCCTAATTAATACGTCTGGCTTTCGCTTTCAGAAGACGTTTCATTTATGATTATTTCTATTTGGCACTTTGAACCCCCCTAAAGCGTTTTCGTGTGACTTTCTCCTTTGTGTGTGATGGAAAGGACGTGTTTATTCATTTCTTCGCGGCATAAGAGCCGGGAGTTTGCAGTCTAAAACAGCGGGGGTTTGGGGGGGCGCAGCCCCCCCCCCCCCTTTGCAAACTTTTCCAAAATACGCGTTTGTTTCTCTTCGCTTTACGGTTCAAACCCATGTATAACCCTTAAGCCCCCACCTTAAGCCCCCTTAAAGCCCCCCCCCACATTTGCAAATTCGCAAAACTTTCCAAATTAAGCTTTGGTTTTTTCTTCGCTATACAGATGTATGTCAACATATGTACTTTGTAGTTGTACTTCTAATGCGTGTACTTGTTGCTGTTGGTAATACTGTTGCTACTGCCGTTGCTCACGATATGCTCAGTGTTGTTGTTGCTGCTGTGATGCCGTTTCTTGATATAATGACTGTATCTTGGTCTTACGTTTATGATTTTTATTTCTAGTAGTGTGATTCGCATGACTTGGATTTGGGTTGAGGGTGTAGGGGTTCTCGGCTCCTTCCTTTTTATCTTCCTTCCTTTCTTTCTCCTTCCTTCCTTCCTTCCGTCCCTTATTCCTTTCTTCCTTGGCAGTCCTTCCTTTCTTCCGGGGTTCTCCATTCATTCCGTTTCATATTCCTTCCGTCCTTACTTTCTTGCTTCCTTTTTTTCTCCTTCCTTCCTTCCCTGCTTCCTCTCTTCCTTCCTTCCTTCCTTTCTCCTGGCATTCCTTCCTTCCTTCCGGGCTCCGTTCGTTTCTTCTCATCTTTCTTCCTTCCTTTCTTGCTTCTTTTTTTTCTCCTTCCTTCCTTCCTTCCTTCCTTCCCTCCTTTCTTCTTTCCTTCCCTTCTTTCTTCCGGCATTCCTTCCTTCCTTCCTTCATGGCCTTTGGAGGGACCCCCCAGCAAAAGAACAAAAAAAAACCGTTCTGCTTATTCAAAACTATAGCGTGCTTGCATCCTTCTGCTCCGACTGCCCTTACGGATCGTAATGCTTTGCGGCATCATCAGCTCCCCCGAGGTTTAAGAATTAGGGTTCAGGGGTGTTGTGGTTTAGGGTTTATCATTGATGCAGTTGAAGGTATATTCCCTTCAGGGCCTCTGGCTTTCGAGGACGTGGCAACTCCCTCGTGGGTAACGCGGAGGTCTGAATCAGTCTGTCTATCTATCTGTCTGTCTGCGCATCTGGCTCTCCTTCTATCTGTCTATCGATCTATCTACCTGTCCATTCGCGCGTCTGTTTGTCTATGAGTCTACCTCTCTAGATATCTTTCTGTCTAAGTATTCATCTATCCTTCTGTGTAGCTACGTGTCTATCTATCCATCTATCTGTCTAATCCTTCTGTGTAGCTACCTATCTTTCGATCCATCTATCTGTCTATGTATCTGTCTTTCCAGCACTGTTTTTTGTCTATGTAAATCGAACATGGTAGCAAACTCAAAACTTTCAATGCGTTCAATCTTCAAACTCGTCCAATTTACAAGCCTTCAAACTCCCAAACTCTCATACTTTGAACATCTCAAGCATTCGAACCTCGCGTCTCTCAGACTTTCAAACTTTTGAAGTTTGAAAATTTCAAACCTTCAACCCCCCAAAGTTTGAAACTTTCGAATCTTCAAAGTACGAAGCTTTCAATCTTTCAAACTTCCTGGGTTTCAAACTTTCAAACTCCAAACTCTCAAACTTTCGAACTCGAGCCTGAGGGCTGCTATGTGAACCCCTACGCGTCTCCAGCGTTCCTTCGCCTTGCTCCTTCGCGCAATGCGTGTTGCCGCGGCTGCGAACTTCCAAGCTGAATTGCTCTTCAAACTTTCAAACTCCAAACTCGCGCCCACTTTCAAACTCGAAACTCTCAAATATTCAAACTTCAAACTTTTCATTGTCCAAACTTTTCAAACTTTCAAGCTCTCGCATCTAGTCCAGCATGAAATACGTTCAAACTCTCAAAAATTCGAGTTAGAAAAACCCCACTCGTGACACCTATCATATAATGTATGTGTGTATATATATATATATATAACATATACATACATACATACATACATACATACATACATATATACATACATACATACATACATACATCATGATGTGCATGTATGCCTATGTATCTATATGTATATGTATATGCATATGTATGTGTATATGTATATAGTATGTGTATATATATATATATGCGCAGGTATATATACCATATATCCTTTGTAGCTTGACCGGACATCCTTACCACGAACCTGGCCCAGGCACGGCTGGTGGCTAAGGCCACCGGCTCTGGCACTTTGGCTTCTGCTCCTTGCCTTGCTGCTGCTCCTTCTTCTGGGCTGCCACTACGATGCGCGCGCGCACCGCTCGGGGCTCTGGCGGGACGAATACTTCCTCACGGACCTCCCCCCAACGCCCACACGGCGAAGGTGGGCGCCGTGCCGGACCTGCAGCCATTCCGGCATCACGAAGCCGGAGCGAGTACCTGCGCGTGAAGTCTCAGATTCAGAACCATCAACCCTGCCACAGCTGAGAAGCATGCTTCAGAGGGTAAAGCCTACTTTGGCTTCCAGCTTTCAAGAGCACGCGCTCTGCCGCAACACACTGTGGCTGAGCTGGTATGATCATCTTAGAGCCAGCTCGAGCCTTATGGGGAGAGCTTGGGCCTTTCGGGATTTGGTGTTTAAGGATCTCAGGTTAGGAGTTTAAGTTCAGGGATTATGGTTTTGGGGCTTTCGGGGTTGCTTCATTCTTTGGGATGCTTTTGTTTTTGCTTCAAGCCCTGATTGCCTCAAACTTTGGTTTTCCGGAGCTACCTTGATTATCTGAAACCTGGCTGCCCTGCGTCGAGCTACTCTAACCCCCAAATTGTTACCTGAACAACCAGCCGCCCCAATGGCCTTGCCTGCCCTGTTTGCAATATTCTGTGACTCAGTATTCTCCTTACCCTTAATACGATTTACAATTATTAGTATTGCTACTCCTGTTATTACGGTTGCCATTCTGATTACCATGATTACTAGCAAAGGTGGGAGGCGGCCGTTTGCCACGGCTTGCACGTCAACTCCATCGAAGCGCACATCTGGGGCCGCCGGGGCTGGGTCCAGGGCAGCTTAGCCACCTACCGGTCTCCGCCCATGAAGGAGTGTGGATTCCAACTGTAAGCTGCATATACAACTGTCTAAATACAGGTGTACCCTATACCCCAAGCCCTCCCAAAGGATGCTGCTGGCAGATCGGAGAAGGGCCGTCAAAACAGGAAGATCCCAAATGTTTTAGTAGGGATCATAAGCCTTGTAAACGATGAGGAGCTGGCCATGGAGATGGAGACAAGCTTACCATCCGCCTTCACGAAAGTCCACACATCCCGAGCCCATCGGGTTTGGGCTGCACTCTTGGCAACGCACCCTGTCTATGAGATCTTCTTGTGCGACATCCATACGACTGCAGCCAAGCGGGCCAAGATCATCATGGACTGCGTTCTGGGCTCCCTCTGTTTCGTCGCGCTCTTCTTCTCGGTCGATGGCTCTGCAGTCGCAGCGAGGAGCCCGGCCGAATGTCCGATCGAGCAGGGAGCTTTTCTGTGGTACACCTTCGTCGCGTTGTTTTCGGTGCTGCTAAATTTCTTTCCGCGCAGTCTGGAATGCTACCTGGCTCGGCGCAGCTTTGCACAAGTCAGGACCCTGCATCGGCGGTATCAGCTGTGGAACAGGTATTGCAAGGACATAGGGTTTTGGATGTTCAGCATTTTCCTGTCGCTGCTCCACCTCCTGGTCGTTGCAGCCTTTTTGGCGAACCTGTCGGAGGCCGACGAGCTTAAGTGGATGTTCACTTTCACAGTCGTTCTGGTGAGAAAACTGGTCATCGTTCCCCTTCTCGCCTGCCTTTTCTCAAGCCTTGGCACGGAGCTTTCGATGTATGCTCGCTCGGGAAAACCGATCTTGCCATCCAAGCAGATGGGGCTGGAAATTCAGATCTCCGAGCCTGGCGGGAGCCTCGGAAACAGTAAGGCTCCCCCGATGGTCTGTTTGGGCCACCTTACTTTGGGACCCATATTGCCGGGGTCTGTATAGCTAGAAAAAGCTTTTTCGTAGATATTAGACTATAAATATGTATATATATATGCATATATAAGTATAACAAGGAACCCCAAATTAGTATTGGTAGTTGCTTCATTAGGCCATAAGCTTTGAACCCTAAGCCCAACCCCAACTTCGGCAAACCCCGCAGGTGGAAGCGAGGGCCAGGCGACGGTATCTGCAGCAGCAGAAGATCGAAAGGTCTGGTTCGAGAAGGCGCAGAAGCTGAATTTTAGGCTTTAGGGCTTAGGCGACAGGGGGTGTAGGGTTTAGGTGTTACGGCTGGTCCTACCCTACCAGAATATAATAATATATGACCCTAAACCCCTAAACCCTTAAACTTTTACCCTAAACCCTCAAGCTTTCACGCCTATATGCTGTAAACTCTAAAGCTCTAGCCCTAACCCCCTGAACCCTGAAACCTTCGGCTTAAGCCCCTAAAATCCCTAACGCCAAGCCTGAAACCGTGGAAGACTAGGTGAAAGAGCTGGCCGGCCGCGCTCTGACCATCAGGCAGTTACTTGACTTCTACTGCGAGCTGGGAAGCATGCACTTCTTTGATCCCCTCAACTCGACGACCCACGATGCACCTTGTTTCCGAATCAGGTTTAGGGTTATGGGCTTGGTTTCCAAGACATGCAAGAATTCTATTTGCCCGCTGAGCGTGTTGAATCGTTTGGCTTTCTCTTGCGAAGCTTCCTGCGAGTTGAGGTGGTGCGGCAAGCGATCATCCCACAGTCACTGAAGTTGAGGGAAGCGGGCCGCTTCTTCGTCGTCACTGTTCATCGGGCCATCGGCTTCGTGCCTTCTTTGGGCTCCCTGTTTTGCGCGGTGTCTGTGCGAAGTCCCGAAGGCCCGCACAAGCCTTGGAAGGGCGGCGGGCGCACCTCAGCGCTGAAGAGCCAAGAACCCGTTTGGGAGGAAGCCTTCATCGTGGAGGACCGACTCAACATGCCCGTCGACGCCACTGCAAGACCAGTTCGAAAGAGAAGAGAGGGTGTTTTCAGGGCGCCCAGTGTGCGATGAAGTTTTACACCTTAATTAGATCAACCTAACTGAGAAATCCTATATGAAGCTTTCGTAGAAACAATGGATTTCGGGGGGTTTCCGGGCGTGGAACAGGGTTTCCGGAAGCAAGGGCATGCAACTCCCGGGAGGATGTTTTCAAGGAGGAGAGGCTCCATTTCAGCATCCGTGGGGAGGAGCTCGGGAGCATCTCGATTGAGGCAGGGAGCTGACCTCGGATGGCAAAGCTGTGAGGCAGAGTACCCGAAACGCCCGAAACTCCCATATCTCTCTTTGAACCCAAGAAGCCCTTTCCAAAACTTCCAAGATTCTGATCGTGAGCTCCAAAAAGGGCCCTACGCCCTGAGTGGGAGGCACTTTAATCTTGGCCCAGGTGGAGGCCGAGCCCTTCTGGGAGGGGAGCAGGGCGCAGCAGCTCAGACACCCAAGTGGCGCCCTGCTGGAGGTGCTTCGGATTTGGTTTAGGGTTTAGGGGAGGTGCTTCGGATTTCGATGCGATGCATTTGGCTCTTGCGAAGGGTTTCCTTTTCACTGTGCTCAAAGTCAACACATCGGCACCGGTTCTCCGTGATTGCGACGTGGCTCTGGAGCTTAAGCCAGGTTTTGGCGCACAGGGGGCGGAGGGGACCCACACCACACCCACTTCGCCCGGAAACGGCTGGGTTTTTGTTGGTCCCTGTAGGGTTTCTTGGGGTACTGTCGGAAAGGCTTTTTATCTGACATCAGTAGGAGCGGCGCTTAACATCTTCTCGAGCATGCATGGACAGAGTCCGAAACAAGCCTTCCGCGCTGTCCAGGGTTTGTTTGGTATCTCCACCAACATGGACAGGGTCCAAAAAAGGCTTCTCTCCCGCGCACGGGTTTTTCTTCTAACTACCTCGCCACGTATCCATGACCTAAAACCTTCCTCTCAGTGGACAGGGCTTCTTTCAGCGCCCGGATCGAGATTTCTCGGACCCGAGATGTTGAGATAAAAGCCCTCCTAACCCAACGACAGGTTTTGAAAAGTCGCCTCGTGCACCCCTTGCCACCCCGAGGTCTTAAAGAAGGCCCCAGAGACTTTGAGAACAAGGAGAAAATGCTCGAAAGAGATTAAAGAAGTCAAGATCTAGGATCAAGCCGCTCGAAAAAATCTAGAGAGTTTTAGAACAAGGAGCAAGCCGCTCCAAAGCAGATAGAGATTTTGAAGAAGCAATTAGAGAACCACAGGAGCAAACAGCTCGGAAGAGACTAGAGAAGTTGACCGCACGAAAGAGATTGGAGAATGAGAACAAGGAGCCAACGTCTCTCGAAAGAAACCAGAGAAGTTTTGAACCAGGCGCAATCCGCTCGAAAACTTGAGAAGAGGTCCTAAGAGAATAGAGGAATTGAGAACAAGGACCCAACCACTCGAAAGAGACTAGACAATTTGACAACACCCAGCCCTCTGCATCCGTGTAGGCCAATGTTGTCATCATTGCAATGAGTGCTCTGGGGGCGTGCGCAGTGTATGTCAGCAAGAATTGTGATCATTATGGAATTATGGAATTCCGTATATGTAAACATGCCTTAAAGTATATAAAAACACAACATTCCGCAGAATCCTGGGATTGTACAATTCCCGATATCCTCTCGCCTGGGATTTCAGGATTCGATGTGTGTGACCGGCCGATCGCAGCTGCAGTGGATGACCTTTGTTTGAAACACGAACCCATTGCAATTGCCTTTATCCCTACAGGGCCTTTAAGCTAAACCCTTGATTTTATCCCGAACTTTTATGTAAAACACATCCCATAAAGCCTTTAAGAGAGCTTCTAGCTGTATAAGCCTTTGGCTAAATACTGATACTTAAACCCATGAGCCTTTACCCCCATAGAGCTTCCAGCTAAGCCTTTGAACTATATACCGAACCCATGGCCCTATAACTATATCTACATATAAAGTCCTCAGCCTTGAAGAGGTTGTAAAACACTGTCCCGAAAGGCTCCAGAGAACCCATATGCACACGATATAGACGACTAGTTTTTAAGCTATACGTTTCCCGAACCACCATGAAGCGCGGTCTGGCAAAGCTCATTGCAACTTCGAGCTCACGACCAGCCAGAAGTGGCTGCTGATCTGCAATAAATTCTCATGATCAAAAGCTGCGATTTATTATCGTTTGTGTTTTCATTATTCGAGGTTCCTGTGGGCCGCCCCAGCCGGCTGGCGGTCACTCTGCTAATTGCTTGTACACCTGTCGGTGGCAGCCATGCACGGTTTTCGAGGTTCTTGTTCGAATGATGCTGCAGTGCCACGATCGAGCGGCCTGACTGAATAATGCATGTTTCGAGGCTCGCATGTACACTGCTGGAAACCATGCTAATTTCTTATTCGAGGTTCCCATGATGAGTTGGCTGGTAGAACTTTGCCATCGAGCAGCCGCTTGTATTGATTTGGTGGGCTTCCAATCTCTGCACATGTACATGTGCTGCTGTGGTGTGCCGAAGCGCTAGCGAAAGCACGAACGTCCTTTTCCGAGCGAGGTTCCCGTGGTCCACGGACACATCGATCGAGATCGAGATCTCCGGTGGAAAATTCCTTTTGGGGTGCCTCCTCCCATGCAGTGTGCAAGTAGTGCTTGGTTCCGGAGTGTTCGCATTCGTTGCCTGCTGGGTGCATGCATGCAGTTTATTACATGTACACCTGCAGCGTGTGAGCTTTTTTTCGGGTCCCTCCCGACCTGGACTTCCGAACGGTGCGAGCTGAAGGCCATCGTGCTGGCAACTTTGTGGCTGCGGTATTTTCTCATGATTATCTAAATTTCGCTTGCAGGCCGCCATGCCAGCCCTGGATTTGCGGGCTCAACATAAATTTTTGTTGGAGGACGTTGGCTAGTAATCATGAATGCCGTACATGATCTGCACACGAAATACACACACAACATGTAGGACCTGATGAACGGCTTCGTGACGGAGCACTCTGAAATGCTCCCACTTATCCGTGAGCGCCAGGACTCCGGCTATACTGGTGTATATTAATAGAATCGATATCCTGAGAACTTGCAGGAACGTGAAGTCTTCGTTGTGGTGGCTGGCGGCCCCAACTCGGCTGCGATGGTCACCAAGCTTCATTAATGTGATTCGCATTTGAAAATAAATGGTCGATTGCTGCTGCATGCAGTGCTGTATCAGGTGGAGCAAGAGTTCAACTTCTTGTGCAGCTACTATGCAACGTTCACGGGGGCTGTGCCAGTCTTCAGTGTCCACAAGGCTAGGAGCTACACGTTTCGAGTAATGCCTATCCAAAACATAAAATCCTGCAGGAGATCATGCAGCTTTTGAATGCTCGGTATTGCATTCTTCCTGGGCAGGCATGGGCAGCGATGCAGGCCGGCATCATCCGAGCTATGGTGATACATGGGCTATTGTTAGCCAGAAGATCGCGAGGAGCACGGCTCCTTGTCTTAAACTATTGCTAGATCTATAGCTAGCATACTGATATATTATATTGCTATCCGTCAGGTCCCAGAAGGTCATGCTGCTCAAGGATGTTATCCGACAGTGTCTCGGCGAAGGCGAGGCTATTACAACTAACAATAATCCCTAACCCTAAAGGCCTAAACCAAAAAACCCTAAACTCCTCAACCCTAAACCCTTAAGCCCAAAACCCTGAACCGCTAGACCCAATTCCCAAACCCACCGAGGAGTCTTCGGATCCCAACATCAAAGCGAGGTCGTAGCTAGCCGGGTAAGTCGGCTCTTTGAATGTACAGGGCATTAGGGTTATATAATTTTGTATTATTATATTCGCTATGGCTACGTAAGGGCTGTGGTTGAGGGCCGGGTTCGGAGATAATTCGCTGATTGTGTCTGTGGTGGGGCCCGGCTGTTCTTTAATTGTACTACCTATAGCTAGATATCGGCAATTGAAATCATGATCCTGATCAGATAATTAGCATTGCAGGCCCCGGTGATGATGGTGATCACGCTGTGGACGATGTTATCGATGCCGAGCTGAAGGTGGCAGCTCGAGCGCAGGTGGGAAGCCGATATGCTACTTTAAACTAGATTCGCTAGACTGCAAGATATCAGCCTGAGACTTTAATTGCATTGCAGGACCCTGCTGGAGCAGAGAGTGCTTCGCCCTCATCGGTGGATGAGGAAATGGAGCCGGAGGCGAGGGACTGGTAATTAAGTTATCTACACGGCTCGCTGCAATCCCAAAACCCGAGCACTCAATCCCCGGATTTCTCGATGTATAGGCGAAGCATCTATCCCTATACCCCAGAAGTTATAATTACAAGCCCAGGCCCCAAAACATATCCCATTTTCCCAGCTCGCAGGCTGTTGGCTCAGCTCCCGATGGAGATGCTCCCATGCCGCCTGCCGCAGAGGTCGGGCACTTGCACTATCGTTATCGATGGATTAATCATAGCTTGAAGCTCTAGATGCAATGATAAGCAAATGTCAGGTTAGCCCGGGAATGCTCTGTATGGACAACATGGAGACCCAACTGCCTGCCGATGTTGCTTGAATTTCCTCATTTGTTGTTCGTTCCCTGGTCTCCTAATACTTCTATGTGAACTTAACCCAGATCAAACCGAGGCAGCTGGTGGACCGGGATCGAGGGCACCCGTGCAAGTGGTGCCGCCTTCCACTGACCTCGCCACGGAGTTGCTGGCCGAGATCGATGCCGATGACGAGCAGCTCATGGCTGACTTCGATGGGGTCGCTGAGCAGAGGAAGGCCGGGAGAGTCTCGATTGTGTGCTAGTTAATATATGGTTTCAGCTACCCGGCAGGTGGCCGAAGCCGCCCGACTGGCGACAGCTCAGGACAAGCTTGACAAGCTTGTGAACAAGGGGAAGGGTCGGGGAGGCAAAGGGCGAGGAAAAGGGCGTGGCCGTGGCGGCCGTGGTAAGAAGGTGGAGAGTGAAGAAGCCGAAGAGCTTCCAGAAGCCCCCGCTGCCGAAGAGGCACAGGCTGCAAAAGCGCCAAAGCGTGCCAAGGCGAAGGCGAAAGCCAAGAGTGTTCCAAGCCCCGCAAGTGTTCCGAGCCCCGCAAGTGTTCCGAGCCCCGCAACCAGTGTTCCGAGCCCCACAAGTGTTCCGAGCCCCACGGTCGATCCAAATCTGGCAGCCGAGTGGGCCACGAAGGCACCACATTTGTACTTATTACAATTAGCTGCAGCAGACTGTTGCTAACGATCACGTTCAAAAGTGCCCTGTGGACCCCCGATTCAGGCTGTTCTCCTCAAGACGGCCGGCATCCCTGTTCCCGACGGCTACATTCCATCTACCAAGTCCTACACGCTTTCGCCGTGCGACTTCACCGAGGAGCCTGATGTATCCAGCATTGCGATTCTGCTGCTTGTCTAGAGACCATTATAGCAGTAGACCCGCAAGCCATAAAAACAATCCCCCAAACTCGAAACCCTGAAGCTTAAAGTTGGCCTTAGCATAGTCGTATACTAGCTAGCCGCATCA